ACCAAGGTCATCGTTCAGTATACGATAAACCAATATTAGATCACCCCTTATTCTACGGTAAGATAACGGAAATAAGTTAAGGTGTCTCAGTCTGTCTTCATAAGATAGGCCAGCTAGACCTTGTACCATCTTAGTAGCTCGTCGTTGGACTCTTTCTAGCATATCTGCTTCATATTTGAAACAAGGACTCGCTGCTTGAATCCCGTATTCTAAATGTGGTCGCACATAAATCGGGTATAATGATCTAAACATTTCATCATCTAAATACTGAAAAGACCTACGAATTGACCATAATACCCTATAGTCTTTTGCAGCTGCAGCCTTACAGTGACTAGTCGTTTTGAGATCATTACTTAATATGACTCCTAAGTCTTTATAGTTTCTTACTTTGGGTAGCACGAATCCACGTAGTGTATAGTCATACGATTCATCAGAGTTATTTAACTGCATCACTACACTCTTATTAGGATTTACTTCTAGTGACCACCTGTCTAACCATGCCACCAATGAGCTAAGATCGTCCTGTAATACTATTCTATCCGACATACTATGTATGGGTCTCCAAATCTTTATGTCATCAGTGAAGAGTAGAACGGATGATTTTGCTACAGTTGGCAATTCATTTACATAAAGTAAAAAAAGAAGAGGACCTAGGATTGTGCCTTGGGGAACCCCACTGTTTACAGGTACCAGCGAAGAGAGAGCCCCATTAACCTTTACCCTTTGTCTCCTGTCATGGAGAAAGTTACTTATCCAATCGATGACTGTGTTTTGGATTCCAAAACGTTTCAGTTTGAATTTAAGACCAGAGTGGGAAACCTTATCAAAGGCTTTACTTAGATCTATGAAAATTACATCCACAGGAGCATTCCGATTCTTTGCCCCAGCCCACTCTTCTCGTGCAATGAGAAGACTTGTCAAGCAAGATAGGCCTTTCCGAAAACCATGTTGTGCCCTGGAGAAAAGATTTTGCCCTTCAACATAGTTTATAACAGCTATCCGAATGATTTTCTCCATCAGTTTCACAACTGCACTAGTTAAGCTAACGGGTCTATAGTTACTAACTAAATCTCTACTCCCAGCCTTATACACCAGACTTATTATGGCGTCTTTCCAGTCTCTAGGAACTCTGGACTGTCTCAGAGACATGTCGAATAATATCGCTAATGGTTCAGCAATTTCATCTGATATGGCTTTCATAATCCTAGGATGTATATCATCGGGACCACTGGACTTATCAGGTTTGAGATGCTGAAGTAGCCTTAAAACAGTATCTTTCTCAATGACTACAGGATTCATCAGCGAGCCGTCACGGTCACGATGAATCATTGGTCGTTCCTCATTACCGATAGAAAACACTTTACTAAAATATTCCGATAGAGCTTCAGCTTTTTCGGCATCATTCTCTGCTAAGATTAACGGATTGTCTCGTATCAAAATTGATGGAATTCCATCGTTTCTCTTAGTTCGCCATTTTATATACGAGAATAACCGTTTCGGACTATATCTAGAATCCCTAACCAATTTTTTTTCGTATGAATGTCTAGTTTTGCTTATTAACGCTTTACAGACATTCCTAATCTTACAATAACTGGATCTGTATTGTTCTAAGCCAGTAGAGATGAACATATTCCAGTGATTCTTCCTTTTTCTATGGAGTTTCTCGACCGTTTTAGTTATCCATGGTGGACTATTATTCGGTCTTCGCGGTACCAGGTATGGTGTGAACGGGGACGTAACTAGTCTAAATTTACCTTTAAATACAGACCATGCTTCTTCAACTAATATGCTAGTATCTACTAACCAATCTGTCTTAGCAGCGAATTCCTGAATGGCTGATATATTAGCTTTCCATACATTTGGGCGCGGTGTAACCTGATCGTATAACATGTCCCTAGTTCTAAACATGAATGACAAAACAGTGTGAACGCTGTTTACTAACGGTGAAAGAATATTTAATTCGACAATATCCTCAGTCTCATGAGTGATTACCAAATCCAGCAGAGAATAACCCTGGTTAACACCAAAACGTGTGGGTTGGGATACATGCTGCACTAGTGCATGCTCCATTATTGTTATCAGTAACCTACTATCAAAGGAGTTTATAGATCGTTCTGTGGTCATATCAGTCCAACTAATATCAGGTGCGTTAAAGTCTCCTATTATCAAGCACCTGGTATTATCACTCCAAAAATGTGCTCTAAAACAAAGTCATCAGCTAAGCAGATTGGGCTGCGATAGATGACATCGAGCATAAATGTACTACATCCGATAGCCAATTTACAGCTAATGACTTCACAAGTGCCGCTATCATGGGATTCGCTAGTAGAGGGGCGGATATTTATGCCATTGGCTATATGTAACAGGACGCCGCCTCCTTTTCTACATCTATGTCTATAACTCCTGATGCAATGGTATCCGGATAATTCTGGAGTAATGTCTAAGTCATGGACTAACCAAGTTTCTGTCAGTGCTACTATGAGTGGCTTTAACCTGTCTACTAGTGCTTCTAGTTCATAGAACTTATTTCGTAAACTACGAGCGTTGGCATATAAAACTCTTAAGTAGAACAGCCTATCCACCCAGGCCTTGGTAGCATTCGCTTCCAAGACCTGACTATCCGAAAACCCACTAGTCGGAGATTTCCCTCGCCGTTTTGCCGACGGGTTTCAAGATCAGCTAGTGCTTTCTTCCTTTTTATTCTATCTTCGAGAGGCAAGTCAGGTCTAACTCGGATGTCAGAATTGTCGTGACAACGAGCGCTACTTAACAAGAGATCCCGTTGCTTCTCCGATCCTAGGATTACCTTAAGGAGTCTGCATGGACGGGGTTCAACATTGTCCTCGGTCCTCTTGCCTATTCTTACCAATTTTCTGACCTGAACTCCTTTGGAGTTATCTGGCAAAATACAAAGAATGTATTCTCCAAGCTTTTCTAAGTCATGCGCGTGTCTGATTTTCGGAACAGGGTCGTTTGACTCCCGCAATTTGCTCACAATAATATTCGATGTTATTAGATTTTTCTTCTCAGTCACGCCAGGATGGGTTTCACTCTTACTTTCAGATCTTGGTAGTGCAATTTGTGGCTCACAATTTGAGTCCACCAGTGGGTTACTAACTACCTGTGTACTGCTTACAGCTTTTTTCTTTTCGTTTCGTTTCCTACGTACCGTAGTCCGTTCTTCATCCCTCATAACACTGGGACTATTTGGAACGGTGACTGTTTTATCCAGATCTTCGGTTCCCATTAAAGGTGCATTATTAACAATGTCAGTACCAGGTGGTACTACTCCCCCTGTTAATGTCAACGAAGATTCCACTTTTACGTCGGTCAGAGTCGGTTGTTGGCGGCGTCGCGCAGGTACTACACTGACGCATTCGTCGCTGTCAGTGCCCGTGTTGTCAGTGCATATGCCATCCTTCTTTTTACAGGCCAAAGCCAACAGGCTCATAGCCTCCTGTATTAGTAATGCCTTGTTGGCACAGCAAAACATGCAAAGCCAATGTGAGTTAGGCTTCGAGCATCTCTTGTATGTGGTGGGACTTAAGCGGGTGCACTTTTTGTGGAACCACTTATGGCATTCGTCACACTGCATCCGCTCTTCCACAGGGAACAAACAGTTTGGTTGCCCACATTTGTGAGTCTTACCAACCATTGTAATTCGATTTAAAAGGTTTAAAAACAAAAAATGATAACAATGAGAACACAAGTGTTAGTCAAGGACTAAAAACAGTTACTCAGGACAAAATGTAGCAAAAAATTTCAAACTTTAACCAAAGAACTCCTAGTTAAAGTCGATCAAGAATGCTTTTTAGTGCAATAAGTACCAAAAGCAAGTATAATCACCACAAGTACAAAATTTACTGCCCTTTTTGAAATTAGCGCGTGATGTTGTTTCCAATTCTCCTTGGTTTCCATTTCAGGTGGTGTAAGTACAACAATAAATGATTGCCGTCCCACGCGTAGCGTTCAGAATCTCTCTTCGATACAGCTTTATTTTATACAGACCATTTTCTACTGCTGAAACGATACAGAAAACGCGTTTGAAGGTAAATGATCCTGGTTGAGAGCTTGGATAAGGCTAATATCCTAAGTTCCAATGACAGATCAAGAAAAAGATCTGAGAAAAGGCTCTGATGCTTCATTTATTTTACTCAGATACGGAACTTCATAAAGATCAAGTTTTTCTTGATCTGCTGAATACTAAGTTCAAATTGTTTATTCTTTCTACTTTCATTCATCTTCTCAAGGTTGTGGCTCAAGGAGCTCGCTTACTCGCGTATTTTGGTTTCGTAGGTTGTAACGTAGGTTTTCGTCTTACCTGAATGTACCTTGTGTTCTGAGAGAGTGTTGATTTCAGTATGTGATGGTATCTTTAAGAGAAAAGAACAAGAGAAAAGGTTAGCTGACGACTAAGTAAGCACAATAAATGCACTAGTGTAAGCTTGAATTCAATGACGAAGCAATTGACGACATTCAGAAATAAAATCAACGTGACATGAGTTAAAATGTAACAGTTAAAATAAGAGGTTGATGGTTTAATGTTCTGAACGTGTTACGACGTGGTTATGCTTGGGAGCGCATGATTATAATCATGAATTTACTGTTAGCAGTTAGTATTCCAACATCAATGAGGTCTAAAGATTTTCTGTGTATATTATTGGGGGTTGTTCTTACTTTACGTCCGTTTGGAGACCTAATAATGAGTTGACTATTCACTGATTAGTGACTTAAGTCTCTAAAACTTTGCAACTTGTAATTTACATATTATAGTTGAGAATATCTTTAAATAAGTTTCGGCTTTGTTTTTTGTGGTTTTAAGCGCTACTCAATAAGCAAAGTTGAATTTCGGGAAACTGAACTTTTCAGTAGGTGATTTCCATGAGGGGATGCAGAGTTTTTTTCTTTCAAGTGACTGATTTTTTATGGACGAATCAATCACGTATAAGATGACAGGTCTCGGATTTTGGCGCGAAATACACTCATACATTCGGATAAAGGGAGTTTTGGAATTTTAGCTGGTGTCAGTTCGTGATTTCTAACCGTAATCACAAACTGTAAATCATAATTCTAATTCCTCACACAGGTTTATAACCCTCATTTGGTCCTGATTATTAGGTGGACACCCTCTAGGTCAATCTGGCGTCGCTCAAAGGTCGTCTATAAATTACAGTCTCACCACTATTTCAAGCTCTAAAATCCCTACATAACCTTTTTCTCAGTTTTATGGCGTGTAATATCTAAGCGGTTTTTATCCGGAAAATGTCCTTGAGGTACTTTTTTGAATTCTTTCGAATTTACTTGGAATTAGAAGTGTACACTTCCTATCTATCAAATATAAAACAACTCAATTTCGGTAAATTACGGTGTTCGATTTTGAGTTATGTTTTATGAATTTTGTTAGATTTCACTACGGTAGGTCTCTGTTAATAAGCGTCGTAAATAACATGGTTTCACGGTCGTTTACTTTTTCCAGCTCCACATTGTTGTATGCATTCATTTCAGTAGACTGTTAGTTTCAAAACATCTAGTTACAATAGATGACCTCAAGCATTTCAAGTGTCATCGTATTTAAGGGTCTGAACTGGGTGCATGTTTCAAGAAAAAACAGTGAAAGGCGACCCAAATATTGGCGAATACAAAACTGTTTCTATCAAAACAGCTGGTACTAAGATGTTCCCTTTGAAAATAATACTGTTAGTGTTTAATGCATCACCATTGGGTCATGTTTCATGCATGTGATTTGTATGTCAAAATTTGACCTATTGTAAATATAAATGTTTTAAATTTTGTGGGTGTGCTTTTCTTTAGCGTTGTCTTATCAGTCAGGATTATCATGAATTTTTCCGAAAACTAAAATAATGGCAAACAGCAGGTGCAGAATAAAGCAAAGCAACACAATGATGTAGTACTCATTCAGGATGATAAAAGCAACTAATATTATTTCTTTGTAGTCGACTTAAGAGTCATCATTTGAGTTTTCTAACTGCTTGCCTTTTCTGCTCCATGGATGACAGCCACAAAGTCTATAAATGTTCATACTTCTCAAATGGACGGTGACTTCATGAGCTTAGCTCGTTCGGTCACGGGCGATTTACTTTCAAACCAAAAAACATCGCTCTATGAAGTAGGTAAGGACCAATTGTACTTATCACTAGTTTAGCCATTCTAGCTTGTGCAGTGTAGGAATGGAGGTAAAACTTTCGTATTCAATGTGGCTGAACATTGAACACACTCCTGAATTTGTCGATTACTTTTGGGCTTAAATAAATCCTCATCTAGAGCAGTTTGTTTGGGGGAATCAAGTGACATGGCCGAAAATCATTCTGAGCAGCTCAGTTGTATTCAGTTTCCTGTTCTTTAAATCTGTCTGATTTTCAAAGACCATTGAATTAATATGACATCGCTAATAAGTTAATCACTCATAATCAATGCAAAGCCTCACCAAAATCTATTGATTGAGTGAAGTTATTTTATTACCATTTTGTGCCAGGTTTTGTGCTCAAGTAAAAAAGGAAACACCTAACAAGGATTACGTGACCTTAAAGTTTATTGTACTGTCATATAATTAAAATGAACTGTATTTGTGGTCAAATTTGAAAAACCACTAGATATCAGCTTAGAAACGTCAAACGGTACAAACACAAAGTGACACTGCAGTATCGAATCTATGAAAAAACAACTACATATCATTGCGTGTTCTTTCCTTCACGTTAATTGGCTCAGATAATCTATTGGTTAATGAAATTACTGCGATGTTGAGATTTTGTCATATTTCTGAAATTAATTTTTCTAGAAAGGCAAGAGTACTTTGTCATATTCCGTTTGAGGCTTGGTTAGTGCACTTCATAAGTAATACCTTCAACATAGTAACCACATAAAGAATTTACTGAACCAGAAGCTCTACATGATCGAAATTCTCAGTAACTTCCAATATAATTTCACTGTGCTTCTAACCAGTAGGTCGCAATTTCGAATCCTGGATTACCTACCGTAGTATTAGAGATCAGAATCGATCACAATGGCGGTGTGTACATTCTTTGTCTTCCTTTAAACTGGGGTTAAAATTACTTTATACCTTTCTTTTTACTAAGTAATTCTTTCTTCCTGTATCATATCTTTATATGGAATCTTTTTTTACTACCATCGAACTAAATGGTTCCATGAATTTGATGTTCATCTTGTTGTACTAATGTGTACCAACTTGGACCGATACATATGTGCGCCTGGTCCTACGTTGCAGCTGACTGACTGAGAGATCAGTTGGTATCACTAACTGTTACTCATTGTAGCTCCAAACAGGGTACAGAATCATGTACTTCGTAATTTAGTGACATTTATGTATTTCTATTTTCGGTAAAGTTGTAGTAAAATAAAAGTGGTTCGCTTTTGTTTCATGATTACTAATCATCAATTTCTATTTCTTCATGGATCCTACTTCAGTTCACAATCGGACAGTCCCCACATGGATCATAAAATCAATGAAATAGCTGAAAATATTAAGCAACGTGGTCGTGAGGGTGCGTATCCTCTCTTCAAGGAAACGGGTCCGGAATATGTGATGCCGAAATTTCCGATTGAGAGGAAAGAGATGGAAGACCATATCTTGGAATTAAAACTGGCCCGGTAAGTCAACGCGCATTTCCATTGTTATCCAGATATATGGGAAAAGCTTAAATAAGTAGTGGTTGGAAAAAAAAGCTGAAATATGTGACTGTTTAGTGGTAACAAAGTTATCCCGAAATCAACTGTTACTCCAAGCAAATCACATTATCTCTTTGTCGTTTATTTCCATTTTCTTTGTATGCAAGTTGTCAAATACATTTCGAACCCTTCAAATTCACGACTTACATTGTGGTACTCTTCAGTTTTCTAGAGAATTGTTTCTTAACTATTTTGAGGGGGATTTAGATTTTCAACCTTAATCTCAAGTTGTAAATCCTGTAATAGATCCAGGTGTTTTTCAAATGAATTCATTGCAAAGAAATAGTCGGTGGCAGATATCTGTTCAGCGCTTTATATATGATGTTTATCTGGTTTAAATGAATCAATAAATATTCTATTCCTCCTACCCACTTTGCTAAATTTCATTCGCTTCTCTTGCTTATTTTAGGAAATTAATTAAAATTTCACAATGCTTCAGAGTAATTTTTTGTATCTTGTGTACTCCATTAAAACAAAATTGCTTTCATAATTCTAGAGTGTAAATTGAAATATAATGGAGTTTTCTAGTGAGGTGATGGTTATTTCTTGTGTGTTTTTATTATCACTAGTTCTCATCTCTAGTCGATTTATTCATCCCCTCTGTAACAAGTTATGTCTAATTGTTGTCCTAACTATCTTTGTTTCAGAGCATTAAGTGTGGCAGACAATGATTCTAAACTTCTCGTTAATGAAGAAAACCATGATCTTACCATTTCGAATCCTTCAGCTACCTGTAAAGCTATTAGTTTAGATGACTGCAATTCTGTTGAAAGCATAACAAACGATCATGGATCTGTGTTATTTAGCAAGAAGAATATATTTAACAAAGATTCTTCCAACTCTTTATCCGTACTTCCTGAAACATCATCTGATGAACCAAATCTTCACTCTAGCCAATCTACTACTTCAGACGTGAATACGTCTTTGGAATCTGGTAACCGGATGCAACCTAGGCTTACTCAAAACAATATTCAGTTTCAAAATGAGCAGAACTGTGGAGGTTCTTTATTCCGAAGATTATACAGCATCCCTAGTACAAATAACGATGGATTCCCAATATATTTAGCACCTGCGCCAAATCCAGGCGTATTCACAGATGTAGTTCCTGTTCTCCAAGAAGTAGAAGAAGCGGCTGAAGCACACATAGAGTCAGCAGCTGTGGAATTTCAACGTGTTCAAATCTGCGGGGATGATACTCTTGGTGTAAGTTTGCCAAACCCTGATTTACACTTGGTTATTTAAAATTATACCGGTATCGCTTCAGAAATAAACACGATACCATTATGCCAAATGTTTGATCTTTGAGGCAAAATCGTAAGAATTACGTTAAACGAACCAACAAAGGCTGACTGGATTACGCTTATACTTGTTTACTGTCACTTTTAAATGGTATCAAGAGCTTGGTTTTCCGGCTGTCTTTATTGGCAAGCTAATTTCTGAGTGTTTGTCTTATTACAAACTAGTATTCATATGAATATATATTTACCTATTTAGAGTGGACTTTAAATACCAAATTTTTTATAGTCTTCATGATGTACAACAAAGCCGTAATCTTTTCATGTGTAACTTCTTAGGTTTTCTAACCTGATCTGTCATATTAAATGCCAAGATTTGAGGTTATATGATTGTTTCAGCACACATCTAGTCACATCTTCCTTCATTGTGCAGGCAGATACTATAAAATTCTCGTAGTCCACATTTCAAAATGACCTTAGGTAGTCTCTGAAAACTGGGAAGTATTAGACAGCTCTTGGTCCTAGTATGGAAGTTCTCAGTGGAGGACATACGTAATCCCTCCGGATATCAAAATCAAGGCCTTCAAGTATGGTAGTGAGTGCCTAACTCTTAAATCACTGAGTTTGTATTCGGAGGTTTACATTTCATACCTTAATCAATTCGCGATTTCCAACAACCATCTTTCACTGTTGTTGATGAGTGACTGCCTTACATCCTACATAGTTGAAATCCACTGACCATGGTTTGTCATTAGTACTCCTGAAATTACTTCAAAATTAGTCATCGAAGAGTGCTTGATTGTTATTAATATAAAGGATCAGTTCGTGATGTAAACGTTTTACATCAGTCCTAAGGATCGCTCATTTTTACCAAACAAGCAAAATGTTTCTTAAACTGCTCTAATAATTTTGGCCAAGCTGGAAATCAAGCGCTTAATTTTACTATTATTACCTGTGGTAGCATCATATTTCACTCTATTTCAACCACACTAAAGATATATATGCTCCAGATGCAAAAAAGAGTTATGGCAACTTGAATTGATGTACATACCTACCAGATTTACTCTGTAACTGACTGACCAGGTACAAACTCTTTCTGAACATATTTATTGAAAATTTCAGTAATTTATTCGGTTGGAATACAAGCATGTGTTATGGTTTGTTTTACAGATCAAGCGATAATACTGAGTAATCAGCTGGCAATCAGGTTGTTATACCTTTTCATTATGATTCTTATTTTAATATATTTCCAGTGTACAGAATACCCGTTTTTCAATAAATGGTACAGTCTATTACTGGAAATCTCGCGTTTAGTAGTGGATTTTATATATATACCCCTAGTATTTGTAAATTGGGCATGATAGTGGAAAATGATGATTCTTTCTCACTTATCCCTCGTTAATCAAACATCCCCCACCATATAAACCTTATTTATTCAACAATTTTCTCTGATTTTCATACGGAAGTATGGTCGATTTTTCTTGATTATTTTGTTGCCCTTAGTTTGCATCATGCTTTAAATAAGCTTCAAATTTTCACGAGAGGGAGCAAACCGCTCCGCAACTAACTTATATTAGTATCAGTCGGCTCAACACACTACTACTTATGTATTATATGGACCACACATGGCTCTTTACGTCTTATTTAGTTATCATGTTATTTATCAATTTTTATTAAAATGAATTAGTACTTTATCATCAATTTTCTAAAGCTAGTACGAATTGTGGTTTTTTTAATTACCACTACTGTGATGTTGTTTTGATAGGTTTTAATCATAATCCAATATTGATTATTTAAATTGTCACTCTGTTATATAATTGAAGATTACTAATTGTAATAACCAAATTAATAAGAAATGACTTCTATTCAAAATATGATTGTAAATAATTATAAACTCGACCATTATGTATAGGTGTATGCTTTACTCCATGAACTGTATCCATTGTGTTAAGAGTAATAATACTAACTGGTTACCGAGACTCGAGTATTAAGAATAAATTTCAAACCATTCACCGGGTCTGTTGTGAAATAGTAGCTCACTGAAGACAATGGTGGACGGTGTCGCAATATCGTGGATTGGTTGAACTTAGACATTAACACCGTTGGATGCCGGCTCAGTAGTATAGAGGTTAAGCGATCGCGAGAGAGACCGATAGGTCCTGGGTTCGAATCCCGCGGGCGAGATCGTGTTTGCGCACTGTTGAGGAGACACATACTATGACGGAACAGCCGTCTAGTGCTTTCAGGTTCTCCATGATGGTCTAGCTTCAATCGACTGATGAACTCAATTAATAAGTTACTATAATATCCATAAAAACCCCTTCTGATAACATTCACAAACTGTTTTTCAAGTTTGACCACTGAAAATCATATGATTGAAAGTATTTTGTATTGGTTCATCTAGTGGGATTTTATTTATTCCCTAGTAGGTTAGTTTTATAAATTTTCAGAATAATTTTTCTTTTTTTTGAGAAGATTAAGCATTCCGAAATCCGACCAATCTTCATTAAGTTTTTTACACATCTATTCCAAATTAGCTTCCTTCGATTCATCCACATACTGCTGGAATTTTCGCCCTGTCACAGGTAGCATCAATCCATCTAGTAATTTTTATTTTAATATGTGTACACTATAATAATATTTTACACATGAATATCACTAATAATAGTATACTCAGTTAGTGTTTTGCACTTGTCCAATAGATTTCTCTGAGTGACTAAAATCAGTGTGTGATTGTAGCACTTTTTTCCACACCAGACTCTAACTGCTGATTAAAATGGAAGTTTCTCGTATTTTTTTAAACTGATGAACAGATCTTACTAACAAAATAATAATCTTAAATGGGAATAAGTTTGTTTTTAATAAAACTAAAGTTCTTATTAATTAAATTAACTAATTTATTCGATCACATAAATATTAGTACAGATATGGGATAAAAATAAATATTCACCACATCAATAGTTGGATAAGATTGTGAAAAAATAAACAAAGGAAAGCCATTATGATCAAAAAATGGTGAAATGAATGAAAATAAGCTTACAAGGGTAATGTATAGTGTGGGGAACAGTTCAGATAAAATGCAACCAAAAAGAATTCTCTCAGTTAAGGGAATTCCTTTTGTTTCTTATAAAGTCAAGGGAAATTATGTCATGATCTCCATTGGTTTCTGTTCTGAGCCATATCTGATGACGTATCGGGCCACTGAGTTACACTGTCTATCGAACCCTAACCAAGCAGTCATGGTTCATTGACAGATCCTAATCCTATACAGCTTTCTTTCATCACACTTCACCGTGCCACAAACTGACCACTCTTTATAACCGATTATGGATTGGGCAAACAAAACGGGATGTAGAATTCGCTTGGACTACATTATTAGTACATATCCATGCCACCTAAGGTAGTTTTTCGAAGTGTTGACACCAACTAGATGATCGTCACCGAGCCAGAACAGATGTTGTCGAACCTCTGCATTTTTAACATAGTATTGATACTACATATCAATAATCCTTCGGAGAAAAATGATGATCAATCACAGTCATCGAATATCCACAACATGAGGAGGCCGGGTTTCCGAAGCATGGAGTAGAATTACTCTCACCAACGTGTTGTAAACCCAACTTTATACAGCCAGACCAAAATCAGGACTAGTTCAAATACAGATTTGTTTCAGCCTTGCAAAAGTGCTTTGGGTTTAAATGTAAAGTACATGCCATACCTACGGACATTGATTTGCAAATAAGTGGGTTTAGTTTGTACAGTTTGATTATCATTGCACAGTACGACAACATCATTGGCAGAATCATGATTGAAAGTCCTCCTCCAGATGAAAGACCCACACCACCACTACTTACTTTTCTGAGAGCTGTTTCCAGAATGCTGTCAATGACAAAGATGAAAGTAATGGTGAGATTGGGCATCCCTATTTAATCCTACTGCCCGATTCTCGCAGGTCGCTCTTCCACGGGTTTTAAGTGATCTTTGAAGCGTGACGGAAACCAGTAGTTTGGACTCAATCAGAAGTAAACTTATTTCCCGATAGTTGTTGCATGATGCGATTCCCTTTTGAAGATCGGGATGGCGGTCGCTTGACTTCAGGATGTTGAGGCACTCCATGTTTGTGAAACGTTTTCGACCAAACCGGTTAGTTCGCCAACAAAAGGTCTCCCACCTTTGAAAGGGTTGAAGTTAGTCTTCTGGGCCTAGTAAGTCATCATGCTTCAAAACTTGGAGTTCCTTGCGGACATCCCGCTTTTTAAGTGGGTCGTCACCGGCTATGGATGACAAAACAGTCTGATCGATATTGGAGAGACACCCGACCAATTAAACGGGTTTTGGAAGAACTCTGTCCATTGTCCGAGTCGTCGTTAACTGTTACTGGTGTTTTGTCGGCTTCACAAATCCTTTTTTTCAAACCCAGAGTTACTGCCAGTGGCTAAGTTGAATTAAAAGTGCCTCTGACAGTTAATAGATATGTTCGCTATCAGATTCGCGGCTAACTGAATTAGACTCGGGTGCCTTAAATAGTTGTAGGGAGCCAGTAAAAGCCCAGTGCATATAAGAGGGACGTTCGGTGGAGCCAAAAAACGAGACTGACTACTAGCCTTGAGTCTAACTCCGTCTGGTATTTGGTTGCGACCGGAGCTACAGTCGACTTGCTTATATCAATCAGTTTATGACGATGAGTTTTCTGAGCACTTAAACGAAAGATAGCGGTAGCGCTAACCAAACCATGACCAGAGTCCAGATAGGTACGCCAGAATGAACGATGGTCTTGTACATAACCATGCCCGTTGTAGCCGATCACGATGTGATTGATCTAAGTTCATGGCTGAGTTAAAAATTGAGAATGCTAGGGAGTACATCGTCGACGACTTCCGAAATTCGGTGCTGACCAGTGACAGGTTTTTGTCTGTGCAAACTGCTGGAGACGGTCACCATTAATTGACCGGAGATCTGCAAGCCTCTCTCGACCACCGAAGAGACTCTGCTCTGTACCTAGACATTCGATCTGTGGGTTTGAACTTCTGACTAGCACTAAAATGTGTCGAGTGCGCTTTTTTGAGATCATGTAACTGGTTGTAAGATTAATCCTTGATTGTATGCGGACTGCAATACGTCTTGAGGTAGGCGGAGATAACGACAGCGTATTGTTATTTTACTTCGACTTCTTGTCAATGTGCTAGAGCATTTTTATCTAGCAACACAAAAGCGACTGTTATTGGGGATCCAATCGATTAATGCTGCTTCTGTTGTGCTATGGTGTTCAGTGCGACACCTCCAGCTAAACCAAACGAAGATCCCGTAGAGTCCTCTGGTAGGCACGTGTAAAACAAATTTTTTTGAATCTACAGATAGAGATCGAATTTCTTAAATTTTGATAGAGTCCTAAATATAGACCTCAGATAGACAACTGACGTTGATATTAAGATTTTCCAGACATCGCCAAGCTACCTGTTGTCCAATTTATATTGGTGTGGGAACGTTAAAAGAGACCAGTTTGAATGACTGACTGAATGAGTGAGTTTTCGGAAATGGTGGTTCATAATCTGTATTCGGTGATAGCATTTAAAATTTCTACGAGTTACTTTCTTGAATTCGTTTGAGAAGGACAAAATTTCCTCCCTAGACAATCTGCAGTGTGAGTTGTAAAACAGAAATAAAGAAAAGATGGCAGCAGAACATAATAGAAAAATAGAGCATGATAAAACAAAATCTAAGGTAAATGAGTAATAATTATCTCTTCAGTTAACGGTGAACCTGAACTTGCGAGTCGGTTTCTCCATAAGTATTCATTGTCATATTTGTGAAAAGGCTGGGATACTGCTTGGCTTTCCTGATCGACGCAGGTGGTTTTCTTACGAGGTCACTCCCCGAGCCTTTGGTCTGGGGGTTTAATCCACATGGCAATGAAGTAACTTGAAGTAATACAAGTCAATAGCCAAAATATCTGATATCACTATCGGTTTATGTTATGTCGTTTTCGAACATTTTTAATTCAGTATCCAATGCAACTACAATAGTAATAATTGATTCTGTTAGATGATTTTTTTAGAGACTAGTTTCTCAACTCTTTAAGACATCAAAGGTTAAAAAATGCTGTTGCTTGTTGAGACCATAAGCTATTGAAATTTTTGTTCCTGGTTGTTTTGTCTTCTTGATGTGGCTTCACGGAACCAGTTATTCGTATTGGATTAAATTTCTGGTGTTAACTAGATAGGACTGTATCCGTAATAATTTATTCTCGCATAATAATCAGAGTACCCTACTATTACTTTAAATAGTTGCGGCGTCTTCTAGTGTACAAAATCGTTCGTCTTAATTGCAGAATCAAGTTATTAGGATCGAGAACTGGTCGAATCGTAAATAAAACAAGTAATTTGCGAAGGTGAGAAAAATAAATGTTTATAGATTTTAGGCGACATAATTGAAGGTCGTTCATAGTAACATGGCTCCATTGCCTTTGTTTTTTCTATAAGCACTGAACACGCGGTCAGTTTTCATTTTTTCGTCCTTCTCTTTACCCATGAAATTTCTATCCTTCATATAAGGTACTGCAAAAAAACTAGTGCAACAATATATACTTGGTTAGTCTGTTTCATTATTTGTGGATGTAAAGAACTGCCATTTAAGGGTTCAACATTTTATCTGTATTACAAATAATGAAACTCTGGTCATAGCATGTTCTTGTTTACTCAGGATCATGTTTTTTGTGAAGTGATCTAACAACAAATAGATATTGTTATCGCATTAAAATTCTTTCTTGGACTTTGCTATTTTGTTTACTAATTCTGTTTTCTTTTTGACTAGTCTTGATGAAATTTTTCCAATAAATGTTGTAGACTAAAACACTACTCTTAGATTCAAGTAGTTTTAATAAATGAACGAAGTTTGGAATTGTTAAAACAAATAGATAGAGTGCCAATCAATAAATGAAATGGAATGGCACTATGTGGCAGTCTACAAGACCTGATTATTGACTCAAACTCCCGAACGAAATAATATTAAACGTAGACAAAACTACTAGCCAGAAAGAAAGATTTTTTGTTTAATAGCGTGTTTATATACAAATGGTTAGGCAAAAATAAGCATGGTTATTTGCCGTAAACGTTTAGAGGATATCATTTTTATAGTTTACCCACTCTCCAGTGAACCAATATTTGACTGTTATGGTTAATTTATTTCCCATCATATCAAAAACAAATTGATGTAGACGAATTCGTCTATTAAATTGAAAGGGTTCATTTTTCTAGCCTGATGTTTGTTTTCACAAATATATTCATCCTTCTAAAGCATTGTGAAATAAGCTCATTTTTATACCAAAAAATTGTTTTAATTGTGATCAGTTTTCTTCGTTTGTTTGTATATGTTCTTCACAGTTTGATGGCCATTTTAATGTTTGAAGGGATTATCGCACTGATTGTTAACATTTTATATTAGATAACCAATTACGCAATCAGATACGTAGTCACATGAAAACTATGCATGTTTGTTGTTATTTCATATATCCATTGCTGTCAATTTGCCATGTTTGTAATTCTCAGTGCATCTGACGTGCATCATATTAGTTCATGATCAATTTTGAAGCTAGATGAAGACTTAAGGAAATTAAAATTAAGTGTCTATGGCTCATTTTTTAATCCTATTCCCATCCTTTTTTGTGCATAAGTTGGGTTTTTATAGACAATTTATGTTCGTTTAATTTATATCGTTTACGGTGCATAATGGATTATATATTAATAATGAAATTAAAACTTGAGTAAAAGTCTCACGTTACTACGCTATTTAATAACACAAAAATGGAAATCAACTGAGTAAAGCATTTACTTAAAAGAAATGAGTCAGTAGAGATCTTAAGTAACTATGGGTTTAATATTTAAATAAATAGTAATAGCTATTTTATGAGACTCGGCATGGTAATCGGTGACTTGGGAAAACGAATACTACATGCAAATACTTAACGTCTCATATTGTGGTAACCTATAACTTAATATATGTGACTTAACTACCTCGGCTGGTTTACAGTTTTGAGTGTTTAAGTGCATGGTTACTTTTGTTTCGCATTCACTGGTTGAATTCTGTTTATTTGACTTTGACTATGCATGTATCACTTTGTAAAATGTAAACTACTAATCTATGTAACACCACATTACCTATTCCTTATAATTATAAATATCATTTACCGTCTACTCGATAGACGATCGTTTTAATGCTGTTTGAAATGTTATTTTGGCTGCTTTGAATAACTTAACTCATTTATAATCAGTATCCCAGGTATATTATTTTATAATTTGGAAAGTGATGAAGTTTTAATCGAGACTATGAATGTTATAATTATGGGTTTCCCTTAGATTCTATTTCGTTAGTATAAACAAATTATACAACGAATTATTTCTATGTTATCACAAAATTCTATGTTGACAATCGTATTTTTAGTTAGTGATTTACTTAACACATTTATATCACCCACAATACCACTGATTATTGCAACTTGGTTTTGTGATGTTTTTTTCTCATGGATTTGTACAACTTGTTACGGGTTATTTTTATTTTCTTTTTGGCTAACATTTGACAACCTAATAAAATTATATTGCACTTATGGTGGCTAGTTTTATAAATTGTTTTTTTGTTGTTGACAATAATGGACAATGTACAGTGTTCTTTCCTCTACAATTCAAGTATTTTCTACAAGTTTAGTAATTTCCATTTAAAAGGTTGCTTGTCTGGAAAATTAAGTGACATAAATAAATCTTTAGTGTTGCATATTCAAGTATAAGTATTTCAGTTCAAACGCCACTCCAATTCACCTATTTTGTTTTGGGCAGCCTGGTAGTTTTATTAGCCTTCATAACTAAGTTTTGGTTCAAAGCCGAGTACGTGCATCTATATATGGTAAATGAGTTATATGATACTCTCATGGAACTATATTATCAAATAACTTCTGAATTCATGTGTATAAAACATGATTTGAATGGATTTATCAAGCTTCTATTTTATGCTAATCAAACTTTTGCCATCGTAACTTTCTTATTTAGTAAAAAACAGAAATATTATGCAGTTTAATTATTAATTCGCTGTCTGACTTTCAATCTGGTTGAATTGTTTTCTTAATTTATACTGTATGATATTTTTTTACGTACGCACATAATTACAATTTATTTCCAATGTTTATCAGAAATTGTTTTTTGTTTGTACGTATATTCACTTTTTTTAAATCTTATAATTATAGGTTCCTGTAGATGATTTACATTTAGCTTCAGAAGCATTGATTAAAGCCTTATTATTACGTCAAAAATACATTACTTCATCACAACAATCATTTCATTGTACAACTAAACGGTATTTAAGTGTACTGGATTCAGGTTCAGTAAAATTATTGGATTCAGAGGAGAAGCAATATAAATCTATACACACCCCTATATTTGGTAAGAGTTGTATATTTTAATTTTCCAATATGTTTACATTGCCTTGCTACTGGTAATAATAATAATATTAATAATAATAATAATGATAATAATAATAATAATAATGATAATAATAATAATAATAATGATAATAATAATAGTGTTACATATTACTTATTTCATTTGTTGGATTTGTGTACAGCTTTTTTGGTAGTAACTATTTATGTATCAAACGCTCCAGTCTTTTTATGTTTTATTTTGTACTGTGATATAAAATTGTGTAATACGTCGACTTTTATATTGTACTGTTAATAAATCTACCTATCGACAAATTTAAACAGTATCCTGATTAGTTTTCCTATCAGAAGTGAATGAAACCTATTATCCAATAGTAGTTTAGTTTCTTGACGAATTCAGTTGACTTCATGTATAAAGTGTTTTTTCTTTCATAATTCATGCTTGTAGGTAAAGACTTTGACTTTAATAGCTGTTTGGGAATTTATTCTTGCGAAAGGTGTTTGTGTTAAGAAACCCTCTTTAGAGTCCTCCAAAATTCCACTGGAATTAGTCAAAAATGTTTTCAAATCATCATTTTGAAATCTCCGAACTACTTGTGTAAAGTTGTACTAGTCTTGGGTGATTCTCAAGGATACTCTGAATTCCATAAATACCCACGCTTTTTCTACCGTATCATTTTTCACCGAACCTAGATCTTTCTAGGTTTTCTTCTTGGTTCTTTTGTGCTCTGAGGTAGAAAACCATTGCTTAGACGTCATGAGCTCCTAGTGTTCTATTTGTTTGTTTGAATAGCTTAGTCACTAGTTTCAAATCTATTTAGTTGGTAAGTGTATAATTCTCAAATTATTATACAATCGAATACCAAAAAGTATATTGTGGATAATTCTTCTTACATACATAAGAGTGATTTCGTGTCATTTGAAGAATATTCCAATGCTTTGTAGTCATTCACAACATATGATTTGGGACGTACGTATAGAGTAGTCTAGTGTTCTAATATTTCATGGGATTGTATTTAAAAGATTAAAAGTCAGGAAATGGGAAACTTTAGGTAATATACTTTGAAAAAGATAAATTAATTCAAAGAAAGAGAAGTTAGAAATAGTGTTGAAATACAAGATTCAGGGAAAAATAAGAAATTAAACACATGTACGTAACTTTTATCGATTCAGACCATTGATCATCGTATTTCTCTAATGATAGATTACGACTATCCCCAACATTATGTGAGCAGTCTTAACCTTCCAACACATTTCGGTCAGAGAGTTGTGTTAGCATGTGTTAGCATCTTCACCGCTCCTAGTCTTTTTCAAACTCAAACCTACTCATAATGTATCCAGTATAACATGTTGAGTTGAGCGGTGGTTGCGTATGTATAACATGTCACAACCACCTTGTTTGATGAAAGTTCACAACTTCATCTTTCGTAAAAGATACTTAGGGTGAGCTTACCTTTAGTACCGAGAAGAGAGCGTTTTAATTTATTCAGTTAACAGCCAAACTTCTACAGTGTCATGTAAGCATTTAAATAGTACAGGGAAACGCCATTCATTATTTTATTCCATAGTTTTATTCTAGATATTTTTCCAATCACTGGGACTTTTACAAATAAGATGTAAATAACTGATAAGACCCATTGGGTTATCAAAGGAAATATGAAGAATATTCGGTTAAGAGATTCTTCATTTTGAAAATGACTTACTGAAACTGTACGATCTTAGTAATAATAGTAATTAAATAAATAAATAAATAAATAAATAAATATATATATATATATATATATATATATATATATATATATATATATATATATATATATATATATATCTATTAGAAAATACGGTGGAATTGTATCATAAGTTGTTTGAAAATATCGGATATCTGAATGTGTTTATTTATTAGTCTGAAAGTTAATAAGAAGTGATGGGATGAAGATAGTTTGAGGATAATCGTTCATTTGATAGGTGTACTTACTTACTTGCGTACGTTTGTGACTCCTTCCAGAGGAGCACAGACCGCCCACCAGCAATCTCCATCCAACCCTATCCGGGCAATCCTTCCCAGTTCTTTCCAGTTGCCATTCATCTTTTTCATATCTGCTTCCGATTTCCGACGTAGTGTGTTCTTCGGCCTTCCTTTTTTCCGTTTCCCTTCAGAATTCCAGGTTAGCGCTCGCCTCGTGATGCGGTTTGTTAATTTCTGTAGTGTATGTCTTATCCACTTTCAACGTCTTTTCCCAATTTCCTCAGCTGGAAGTTGGTTTGTTCTCTCCCACAATAGACTGTTGCTGATGATATATGGCTAACGGATATGGAGTATCTTGGGTAGACAACTGTTTATAAATACTTGTACCTTTTTGATGATGTAGTAGTTCTCCACGTTTCTGCTCCATACAGTAGAACTGTCTTGACGTTCGTATTGAAGGTTATGACTTTGATATTGGTTGGCAGACAGTTGTTTTGAAATCCATCTCTTCTTCATTTATAGGAATGCGGCCCTTGTTTTGCCAATCCTCGCCATGTCTGACTCCGGTCCTTACTTGGCATGTATCTGTCAGTTGTCCCTCATGCACGACTTTGCATCGTAGTCAGTCATATGAATTCCGTATAATGTTGACGATCTTCTGAGGTACTCAATAGTGTGGAAGAAGTTTCCATAATGTTCTCCTATTCACACTGTTAAACACCTCATAGTCAATGAAGTTGATGTATAGTGATGGGTTTCACTCAACTGATTGTTCAATAATGATCCGTAGTGTCGCGATTTGGTCTATGCACGACCGATCGTTACGGAATCCAGTCTGTTGTTCTCGAAGTTGGGCATCTGCTGGTTCTTTCATGCGGTCCAGCAACACTCTGCAGAAAACTTTTCCTGGTACCGATAGTAGTGTGATACCTCTGTAGTTCTCACATATGCTCAGATCTTTTTTCTTTGGTATTTTGATGAAGTATTCTTTCCAGTCTGCCAGTAGCGCTTGTTCTTCCTCCCAAATCTTTCTGAATAGAACGTGGAGTATACTTCCAGTTACTTCAATGTCTGACTTCAGAGCTTCAGCCGGTATATTGTCAGGTTCTGATGCTTTCTCAATGTTGATTTTCTGATGGTGTTGGCGGGACATAGATCGGATTAAAGCATGTTCCATGCACGATTGCGTTGCCGTACGCTGATTGGTTAATTTTTATCCGATCAGCGCTGGTCTATACTTGGAGAACACTCTAAAATCTTATGTAAAAACTATGAATATATTAACGTTTTTCTTATCGTGCTTCTTACTTTCATTCACCCTTGTTCTTTGGAATACAATTTTTTCCTGTTCAACCGTGTTCTGATTCGGGGACTTGTCGAGTGAATTGGTGTCCGAGAATACTAAGCAATAAGAATAGCTGGGTCGTAAAGAGATAATTATGACAGATGGTCATCCTGATTTCTTCGATCGTTGGTGGAGTGACATCCATAAGAAGGTTTGTATGTGCTGCTTCGATGTCCGGTGGCTTCAACGGAGCTAGTCTATTAGAGAGCTCCTCGAAGTATTCTACCCATCCGTTCCCCTATTCTTGAATCTAGGTGATTGTCTTCTCTTCTTGGTCCTTGACTGGTCTGTCTGGTTTACTATATTTCCCTTTCAGTTTCCTCGTCGTGTCATATAGTTGTTTCATATTCACTTCACTTTCAGCTTTATTCGCTGTCGTTGCTATCTCTTCCACGTGTTTCTGCTTGCTTGCTCTAATGCTCCTCTTCACTCTCTTGTTTGCTTCTATGTATTCAGCTTGTGCCTTGACGTTCTCTGCTCTTGGTCGACTGTTGTCAATTGCTGTCTTCTTGTCCTTCCTTTCTTGAGTCTTGTCTGGGGTTTTGATAGAGATCCATTTCTAACGATTATGCTTCTTGCGACCCAGCACCTCCTGACACGTTGAAGTCAGTGCTTTTTTGATCCCTTTCCAGTTATGCTCCATCGTAGCTCTTTTCTTCTTCAGTAGGTCCTGTAAGGCTTGGAATCTGTTGTCGAGAGTTATCTTGAATTCGTTAAGTTTGTTAGTATCTCATGGGGAGGCTGTAGTGAACCTTTCATTAACCTTGTGAATTTTTTAGTGATGCAAATATGATCGATCTGTTTTTATGTAGTGTGATCCAGTGAGACCCAAGTAGCTTTGAGTATGCGTTTGTGAGGGAATATTATTCCGTCTATAATAATTTTATTGGAATTGCGTAAATTTTAAAATGTCACCATTTTCGTTCTTTTTCTTTAGTTAGTCCATATCGTCCCATGATATCTTCATCCCTAGTAATGACCTCACGAAATTACAGTTTGATGTAATGCGAACTGCTATTGTAGAGTAAACGAAACCTAGAATGTCATTTAACGTGTTGAACTCGAAGCTTAGGCATAAAATACAAGATGTTTCTGGGATTTTACGCTTTACTATGTAAAAATATACTGTTTGGTTCCAAACTTATCGTTTCTCATGACGTAATTTTAGATTGTTTGAAGATATGCTTGTTAGAAGTAGCCAAGTACTTGAATCTGGTCTGGGGCTTGGAACTGGCGGTAACTTTAGGAAAGCTACTAGTGGGAAAGAAAATATTTGAGTGTTGTATTTACCAACGCGTTATTCAGTATAGAAGATGATAATAGTGGTTAAGATCATGTGGTAGACCTATTTCTGTCTAGAAACAGTTACAAGACTTGAGTGTCTCCTATTTAATCCTTTTTGGTGTTGCTGATGTCAGAGAGGTTTTTTTAACGGGAACTATACAGCTATCTTTTGATCTCCACATTTTACTGTTTCTCCAAATCATATCAGTTCACGGCAAAAATCTTCATAAACGGAGGCATTTTCACTTTCTTGTCTATTGTCTACTATTTGGTTTTTTAATTTTGATATCGTCCATCTTGTCATTCTTTAAGTTTTCTTTTTCATAAGATTAATGCACCATTAATTTATATTATTCATTATAAATATCAGCCAACATTGATCTCTGTTTCGGTTACAGCGAAATATTCGTTTTTTAAGTGGTTATTTGTTATATATTCATAAGTCTATAGCTCATGGATCATCTCCAGCATAGTTTACATTTTATAATCATGTATTTAGTGAGTGTTTTTTTACTTCATAATCATTAATGACTGTTGTTTATACTTATATACCCTAGGCAAAAGAACATTATCTTCATTGATTTTTTTCTTTGCTTCACTAATAAAGATCTTATGATGTAACAATGTTATTATCTATTTTCCCTTTGTTTATAATGTAAGTGATATTTCGAATAAAACGCCATTTTTAATTCATTTTGAAGGCTCAAACACAGTCGACAATATCACCAACACAACTATCATCCCCATCAATTACAGCTACAATAATATTAATAGTACCGTACACTACATACGAACATGTAGAAGAATCTCATCTCTCGAAGGTACTAATTATTTAATTTGTGTAGACTACCCCCTTCGTCTGCATTCAGATTTCGCATGCAATCCTTCTGAAATTTAGTAGTGGTAATAATATTAATATTAATGATAATGTTAGCAGAAGTAGAACAAGAAATGACTTGAATTTCAACTATACCCAGTTGATAATATTTAATACCTACTAACATTGTTAGTATTATTATTAAAAATATTGATAAGCATCCCATTATCCCTTCTGTCCAATATAGTCGGTTTTCTTTTCTAATTATTGGAAAGCATTTTGGCATGTAAACTCCAGTTGGTTGTGTCTTTGCCTTGGTTTCCAACCCCTTCCCATACCTCTCTCTTTCTCATGAATGTGTTTTCGCTCGAAAAAACGAAACCACCAATAGTATCCAAACATGTATTATCATTCGAGATTTATACATAGCTTGTTATTTTGTATGCTAGCAACAATTTTATTGTGATTCCTTTACTACTTTTATCATTTGTTTATTAATCAATCAATTCTTTTCATTGAATACTGCAATTTGTTTTGTTCATGTATTTTTTAACTACTATTCCTTTTAATTTATATGTGCTGTGGTATAATGTTTCAACATTGGCTTGTCACTTACTCAGCACATGCTAATTAATACTATATATATATATATATATATATATATATATATATATATATATATATATATATATATATATATTATTTGTATACATGACTGTTTTGGTATTCTGTATGTCTACAACTTATGTTTTGTGCGTTTTTTCTAGTGCACCAATTAAATACAAAATATATTTTGTTTAATTACATCCAAGTGATAGTCCGTATTCGGGGATTGTTGAACCTCTACAATAGAAAAGTTGCTTACGCCTTAACCTTCGTACATTATTTAACTAAATAACTGCTAATCCTGTAATTTATCGACGTCATTTAGAAGTCTTAGGTTAAGAAAGTTTATTCCGACTTTCAACACAAAACGATACAACCAGAACACGGTGAACAGAGCAAATCTATATTATTTAGCAGAAAATTTTATTTATTTATTATCATCAGCTTTATTCAATATTATTTTTGGTACAATATAGAATTCTCAGCGTAAAGTATTTCAACAAGTTTCCGTTTCTTTCTTCTTGGTCGGTCCTGGCGATAAATATTGAGGGATCGCCAGTTAGATGTTAGCACTTCAGTGAATGAACAACTGAATAAACAACTGAATAATGTACATTCTTTTCGTTGTATATTGCCAGCAACCACATTGGCTCTTATTGAGTTGTTTGTAACTTTGACAACGAAAGGTTGTACACTTTTCAGAAACGCAGCAGAATGCATCATGCGATTAATAAACATAATGATATATTAAAACAAACAACAATAGATAACTTGTTGAAATATCTAGATGGCAGGAACAGGTAGCCCAGATGCTCAAGCAGGCCGCCCTTGTTGTATGTGAATGAAGTTATCAAACAATTAAACATTTATTACCTAAACTGGTAAGATAAACAAACGCCTAAGCTAACATATACTAATTCGACCCGTGGAGATGTATTTAGAAATACTGGCGAATCATCATGACCTAAAATATCACTTTGTCTACCTAGATGGTTAATTTAAAGATTCAAATGATCTAGACGTATAAAAACCTATGTAAGCTTGATTTACTATTATACGTCACAGTTTACATCATGGACTGATCTTTATTAAATAAATACTACAAAAAACACTTTTTGTTCTCATCCAGTCAGTGACGTAAATCATGAAAATATCTTTATCGACGTTTCATGCGCATATGTACAAATCAATAAATAAGTGTTTCCATATTGTTCTTTTCTATTATTTACGTTAGTTATTTTAGTGCCTGAGTCCTTTGAACTTTGTTGATTAGTTATGTAAATATTTCATTATTAAACTTGGCGGGTAAATTTGTGTAAGATTGTAAAGCTCATTCAATCGATTCAAGAAAATTTATTTTCTACTGTCTTACTATCTACACCCGTTATTATCAGAATAACACTCTACATAAATATTTCAATCGTAAAACGTATGTGAGTGTTACATAAAGTAAACTAATGAATATTCTATTTTGTATGAACACACTAAAAGCATTTAATTTAGACTGATTTTGCTTCTCGTTATAAAACTACTCATACATCATTACTATTAAAAGCTCTTGTAGTATTTATTCAGATGAAAAAGCAATGTTATATATTATTCAAGTCTTAAGTACTGTTTTAAATTTTACTAAAGACAGTTAGTTGACACATCTCTATACACATTATTCAAAACATAATGTCGAATCATTTCGAAACATATAGCTATTCATTTGCAAATATTTCTTGACTTGCATTCGTATCCTATGCTAAGCATCAATTCTCCGACGATTGTAACTATATCTTAGTTTGTTGAAAAATCTTAGCTAATACAGACTTTAGATCCAGAGTCTCATAATAAATGCTTAAGGTAAATTGTACCACAATATCGGTTCATTTCATCTGGTGATCACATTGTAATGTAACTGATAGGATTCGGTCAATAATGATAGCCATATTGTCGTTTACTAATTTTTTACCAATCCCTGTATGTTGTTTCATTTTGGATTTCTAAAAGAAATGCCTATTCATGGTACGAGTGTAAGGTAATTGCAAATTGGAACAACTAGATGAGAACAATTAATTTAATGATATATTGAATACTGCTGACAGTATTTATCCTTGTGACAAAGCATCTCTTAATAGTTAGTTTCTAAAAATCCTCAGTTTTGAACTCATAATTTTTTTTCATTGGAACTTCTGTTAATTCTAAGAGATAGAATTTGTTTGATAATCTTTATTATTGTAAGATCTTCAACGTCTTTGGTTAGATCTTCAGTAGGGTCAAGGATGTGTACCGCTAGGGAGTCCTACACTAAAACGAAACACCTGTCTAATGTTTCGTGGTTTTTAAATAGTTGTTTGACTAAAATCAGTTCTTAATGCAAGTTATACGGTAGTTGTGTCGGTCAGTCCGTTCAGAATTAGGGATTAAATGGTTGTGGTCAGTTTGAATGGTTGAATGCACAAGCGTCAAGGTTTACCGTAATTTTTCGCACATAAATCAATATACAAATGAATTATAAGTGGGTATATAAGAGTTTTTCTGTATTTATTTATTACTTATTCCATCATTGTATGGGAGTTTACAGATTCTCATTTCAAAATAGGTTAGCTTTTAGAAATGCATATTTAAAAAAACGTTTGAGTACTACATTAGTGTTTACCTTAATTATGGTGTTGCATATATTGAGTGTGTATCTTATAAGAAGGAGCGTCCCATTTTTATCAAGCATTTTATCTTTATCTCTTAAAGACTATGAAACTTATGTTCTATGTCTGATCTGATTTTATTCTGTTATTTAAACGCAATAGACGAATTTAGAACTAGTGTTTCTATTTTATTATCAAAACATTGTAAAGTATGAACTAATCGGTGCAAACAAATCAACAAACCATAATATAATTATTTTTATTAATACCATTATTATTAATGTGAATTAGTCAGACTCTACATAGATGTTGATTCAAAAAGCTCGAACGTCTGCCAACTCTTAGTTTTTCTTAAATCAAATATTTATATTCTTTAAAATTATCCTCTCTCTTGAATTAATTACTGTATGGTAAAAGTAATTTTGGAAAGTTTTCGTACTAAAATTTATCATTACAAATCAATATTTTATAGCAATACACGTTGTCACTTGTCAACTGCTTATACAATGCTACATGTAGTGCTAACTATGTGAGCTTAAAGGAATTTCATACTCCAGATATTATTTATACTTTTTCGTTGATATCAGCTACGAAACTGTTGATTGTATTGTATCCAACAATTAAGCTTACTACTAGACTTTTAAAAGCATGTTACCCCACAAAAAGCCCGGTCTGCTTTCTAACATTGAAATTTATATATTTCTGTTTACCTCTTTTTATAGGTATATGTTACTCATATAACAAATACTTCCATTCAACTATTCTCTCCATGTCTATCTACATAACAATTATTGTTTGCGCATCCTAGAATTTATGTGTATATGAGCGTTTGCGTTAACTGAATCCTACAAATAAGTCATTTTTATTTACTTGTTTTCATTTCGCCTCACGGAGACTGAAATCTGATTGTTTTTTAAAACACTTCTGGCGAATTCCTATCTTTTAGATCATCCAATTCATCCTCCTGGGAAAACTGGTGATCCTTTCGAGATAGACTATTGGCCTGAACCATTAGATGTTAAAATGGAATTTCGCAAGGGTATAATGCACATCGAAACATTGTCTGATTCACCAGACAGAAACCAGGTTAATTTAATAAATGGGACATCAGAACATAATCATAATAATGAAACTGTTGATGTTGATCAACCTATGAAAAAGGATCTACCAGAATTTACTATACCATCTCTACAGACATTCTTCTCAGATTTTGATACAATACGTACATTTGTAGGAGATGGTCCATTGAAGTCATTCTGTTATCGTCGACTGACTTACTTGGCTTCAAAATTCCAATTGCATTCATTGCTGAATGAAGCTCGGGAATCAATTGAGCAAAAACGTGTATCACATCGTGATTTCTATAATATTCGAAAGGTAAATTACTTTAAATTATCAATAAACATTTTTTCTTTTGTGAAATTCACCTAAACACTTTCGGAGATTACTCAGTTCCCTCTTAAACTGTTTACTAAAGTTGCTATATTATTAGCTAACAGGAGAATAACTTTTGTTGAGATCATAAACCGACCACTATTAAGGGCGGCCTGCTTGATCATCTAGGCTACCTGTTCCTGCCATCTAGATATTTCAACAAGTTATCTATTGTTGTTTGTTTTAATATATCATTATGTTTATTAATCGCATAACATATTCTGCTGCGTTTCTGAAAAGTGTACGACCTTTCGTTGTCAAAGTTACAAAAAACTCAATAAGAGACAATATGGTTGCTGGCAATATACAACGAAAAGAATGTACATTATTCAGTTGTTTATTCAGTTGTTCATTCACTGAAGTGCTAACATCTAACTGGCGATCCCTCAATATTTATCGCCAGGACCGACCAAGAAGAAAGAAACGGAAACTTGTTGAAATACTTTACGCTGAGAATTCTATATTGTACCAAAAATAATATTGAATAAAGCTAATAATAATAATAATAACCCGGTTCATTGGATGGCCGTTTCGTCCTAGTATGAGAGTCTTCAGGAGTGCTCATCTTTGGGCCTCGAACCCAGAACCTCCTGTCTCACGTGAAGTCTGAATCTCCAGACTTCTGAGCCGCATCCAACGGTGTTAATATCTAACTTCAACCAATCCTCAAGAATCCAGGTGAATAGTTGGATTATTTTTATTGCCTAAAATGTCTCAAATTAACCGATGTATACCACAATGTGTTATGCCGTCAATAAAAATAAACGATAACATCTTTTCAAACCAAATATACATAGAATAAATTGCTGGAGATAAATAATTTTAAAAGATTAGTTCATGCAATTTACTCAGTATTGGAAAAGTATTTCACAGATTCAGTTTTAATTTTCTTGCTTTGTTTATGATACACAGAGGAACAGGTTGGATATTAGCTTACAATTTTACAGAATTTTAATTCAGCTTTTAACAATTAGCGTCAGAGGAAAATGGTGATCGTCTGCTGCAACTGTGCTCAAACAATCGTTTATTTTTAGCAAACACAAATTTTAAGCATAAAGAGAGATACCGTCTAACATGGCGACCCCCTACACCGAACCAACGATGGATTCAAATAGACCATATTGCCATCAGTCATCGTTGGAGAGGAAAGGTAGAAGATTGTCGCTCGTTCTGGAGTACCTGCTTGGACTTCGGCCATGCCCTAATACGGGCACGCATCTGCTTGCGCCTCACTGGACGCAAAAAAGCCACACTAAAAAGACTTATTAGAACTGAATTGAGTAGCTAGAAAACCAAAAGTGGGTTCCAGGAACAACTGAGGTCACAATTAGGTAGTTCTGAAAACGAGGCTGAGCCAGATGTTGCTTGGAAAGCTCTGCAAGCAGCTGTGGAAACAGCAGTGACATCTATCAATGATTTAAACCACAGGGTTACAAAGAACCAATCGATTTCTTCAAGGTCTATTGCACTGGTGGATTCTCGTAAACTCATCCCATCAGGCTCTGAACACGATGAAGAGCGTAAACAAATCAGATCTAGGTTACCCAAAAGTCTAAGGAACGACCGTTAGCAGTAGTGGGCAACGAAAGCAAAAGAGATGAAAAAGGCGGCGGCCATAGGGAAGACAAGACAGCTTTACAGACCAATAAAGGAAACTGGAATTAATAAGTCAAGTGTAAGTGAGATTATATCGGAAAAAGACGATACACTCATCTACTCCCAGTCCAGACGCTTAGAACGATGGGCGGAACATTTTAGAGAACAGTTCAGCTGGCCTTCAGCTACTCTAGAACTACCCTCCATTCCCAGACAGTGTGAATGGAACATTGAAGTAGTTCCCCTAACTCTAGCAGAAGTTCAAAAGTCTATAGTTGGTTTGAAACGAGGAAGCGCAGCTGGTTCAGATGGATTGGTTCCAGAGGTCTTTAAGGATGGTGGTCCAATTTTAGCGATTAGGTTGACTAATATTTTAGCTATGATCTGGGAGTTAGACGTTATCTCATCTGACTGGTCACAATCACTTATCGTCCCAATATATAAGAGAGGGTCAATATCGTCCTGTGACAACCATAAAGGGATTAATTTAACTAGTATAGCATCGAAAATACTAGCATCGATAATTATCGGACGCCTAACTAAAACTCGTGAACTGAAAACACGAGAGAATCAAGCTGGCTTCAGACCTGGTCGTGCCTGTGTCGACCACATATTCACCATTCGTCAGGTTCTAGAACATAGGCATACTTATCAGCGTTCGACAACGATGGTCTTTCTTGACTTAAAAGCAGCATTTGACTCCGTAGAATGCGAAATTCTGTGGCAGTGTCTGTCATTGAAAGGCGTACCTCAGAAGTACATAAACCTTGTGAAGGCTATTTACTCGAACACTACTAGTCGAGTCAGATCTTATGGTGAACTGTCATCTGATTTCGCAACCTCAAGTGGTGTCCATCAAGGCTATCCACTTTCCCCATTTTTGTTTAACTTCATCATAGATCTACTGATGGAAATAACACTCTCGTCGACTGAGTTCTCGGGTATTGATCTCCATCCAGGAGGTCCACTTATCGACTTAGAATACGCAGATGACATAGTCCTGTTTGGTGAAGACGCTGACAAAATGCAGAGTCTTTTGGTAGCACTAAGCAACAGTGCCAGAATGTTTGGAATGCGCTTCTCTCCCTCTAAATGCAAGTTGTTGCTTCAGGACTGGTCTGCGTCAACACCTGAACTAAGGATAAGGAGTGAAGTAGTCGAACGCGTTGACAACTTCACTTATCTCGGAAGTCTGATCAGCCCTAATGGGTTGATGTCTGACGAAATCTCAGCACGGATTCGAAAAGCTCGTTTGGCTTTTGCCAACTTACGTCACCTTTGGCGAAGGCGAGGTATCCGTCAATCAATAAAAGGACGAGTATACTGCACGGCAGTCCGTTCTGTTTTAATTTACGGCAGCGAGACATGGCCCTTAAGAGTAGAAGACACTCGTGAGCTACTAGTATTTGACCACAGATGCCTCAGAAATATTGCTGGCATCTGCTGGTGAGGTTAGGTGCAAGGTAATGGGGAATGATGGTAAATCAGTTGATGAGGTTATGAATCTTCATCGACTGAGATGGTTGGGCCACGTGTTGCGTATGCCTGGACACCGATTACCACGTCGTGCAATGCTAACCGGGGTAGGGGATGGTTGGAAGAAAGTTAGGGGCGGTCAAACCAAGACGTGGCATCAGTGCTTGAAGTCACTAACTTCTAGTCTGAGTCATTTTGGTAGGTGCAGACTACTTGGTTGGGGTCCGCGTGACTTTCGTAACCAATGGTTGGAGACTCTTGGTGACATGGCTCAGAATCGATCACAATGGCGTCGGTGTATACACTCCCTGTCTTCCCTTAAACTAAGAGATTAAAATCACCTCATATCTTTCTTTCTATGAATTAGTTCTTTCTTCCTGTACTATATCCTTATACGCAATCTTTCTTTTATATCTTACCACCTCTGAATTAACTGCTTTTATGAATCCGGTGTTCATCTTGTTGTGTTAATGAGGTATGGCAACTTGGACCGATGCATATATGTGCCTGGTCCTACGTTGTAGCTGACTGACTGACTGAGAGGAAAGTGAACACAAGCAATGTAGAATAAAAAAATGGGTAGAATGATATTGTGAGTCAGAGTAAAAAAAGTAATAAAGATTTTAATATTAAGACGACGATAACTAGTAACTACAACGGGTTCTTCTCTGCGGTTAATGCTGTATGATTTGTTAGCTTACATGATGGCTAGTCAATTTTTCCAAGTTGCTCTATTTATTGTTTACAACGTAAATTGACCTCGGTTAGGTAAGCATTCGGATCTATGAAGCACTAAACAGCTGTTTTGTCTTAATATAAAATTCTTCATCAGTGCTCATCCATTTTACATTTTGCAATTTAAAAAAGCTTGAAGACTAAAAGAGCTCCAGTGGTCTATTGCTTGGTAGAATACTTGAAAAGAAAAACAATTATTTTATTTTCCTTACATGAAGTCTTGAAAACAGGATAACTGTAGTTCATAATAAAAAGGGTTACCTTGCTTTTTTTATTCTCTACAGACTCCTTACAAAAGAAGTGATATATATTTTTGTAGATAATTTTCATTATGAATTGAAATCAAATGTAAAACCATTGAAAGTAATGCACAACAGTAGGGAAATATTTTGTCTACTACACCACACAAGATCCAATACAACAAATATCATTCAATCATTCATTTAAATTCCAATGCCCTACATTTTCAAATTTTTGTTACTTTGGGATATAAATAGGTGGTAGGTTACCATTGATTTTTATCAATACGTAAATGCTTTTTTCGATCAGCTCTACAGATTCCAAATTCATACTATCACATAGAAGAATTTTCTGTCTTACTTTCTTATTATCATTTTTCTGGAAAGATATACAGTGGTTATATATATATCACCACCTCTAGTATATCTTCCTCATATTATTTCTTTCCCTTTATGAAGTGAACGACGAATCTATTTACAATCGCTATTCTGATTAAGCTAATTGTTCAACTATATCACTAGTTATTTTGTTCACTGTCTTATGTCACTAAGCCAAATCTCACATAAGCATACACATATTAATTATGGTAAAGTACATATGTGTTCATACATAGAATGGGCAATCAAAAGAGTAGGTATATTTTTCATTTCCTTATTGATTAATAAGTTAAAATTTAGAATATCTATCTTTATCTAGGTCAACTGAGATTGTCTTTGAATGGTTGTTTTTCTTCAATTTTAACCAATAATTTAAATTTACGTTATTGTTTTTTATTAGGTTTGTTAAATTAAAATAGGAAGTTCCTACTAACTCAACGGTGTTTACCGTAAAGGATTGTCGTTCGTTGTGATTAAAAACATATTATCATAGCCTTATTTCAGTATGTTGGAAGAAAGTGGGAGGTGGACAAATAGGTACATGTCATCAGTCTCTTAAGTCATTGAGAATTGAAATGAGCCGTTTTTATACATGTAGAATACTTGATTGGGGCCCGCATGATTATCATCAATGTTCGGAGACTTTGAATGACATGGCTTAAAATCGTTTGTTATAGCGCAGGTGGATTCATTCTTTGCCTACCCTCGAATTCTGAGCTTCTGGATTTCACTAATTTATGTTTTCTTGAATCATATTTCTGATGCTTAATCTTTCCTATTATCACTGATACTGTTACTACCTCTACTATTCTGGAATTTGGCCTGTTTCGTTTTTTGCACCAATGAGATATGGCTACTTAAACCGATGTACATACGTACTAGGTTCTAAGTTACGGATAACTGTCTCCCTTGTTGGTTAAAACACATTCAACTTTCAACCATTGGGTTATAGTCTCAAACCATCGTAATTCAAATTAAGTGGCCAGGTTGTGTTTGGTGGTAGCATACGAACAGTACAGTGGTAACATTAGTGTCTACGTTACTTGACGACTCGTTCAGATCTGTAGTAGATTATAATTTAATATTTTTACATTTAAATTTTATAAAGGACCAATGTTTAGGGGATTGTGTGCATAGTTCTCCTTTGCATATCGTTTAAGACTGCATTTTCTGTTTTGATTTTGAAGTTCAACTGAAGATAAGAAAATTAATAGGATTAGTTATTAAATTGGTAAATTTCGTTGCTCTTTATATATTCTATAGCGATGCTTTGAAGTATCTTCATATTTTAGTTAGAATATTGTAATATTAATCTACTAGTCAGTATTGTCATAGAATGCAATCATTTCAGGGAAATTTTTTAATTTTCTAAACTTTGGATTTAAACTGATAACGAAAACGATCACATTTCAACTTCCTCTCTTTTTGATGGAGTTTTGTTCTCTGAGCTGGATGGTTTGGTCATGGAGCTTTCATCGTTTTTCTGAACGACATCACCATAAACTTCAGATAGAAGTGAAGTGTTAGAATTTCTCCATATGTGTTTCGCAGCTTGTTCTGTACACTTCGATGTTGATTGGTTCTTATTGAACCTAAATTTGTCGTTGTTTACTTCCTTGTTTTGGTTTTTGTCTCCCATTGGCTTGATTTTTGTTCCTATATTTGTGCATAATTTTCCTGACTGGTTGATAAATTGGATTGATTTCAATATGCTTGTTGATTGCTGGTTGACCTGAGTGCCAGGCTTCTAAAAATTCTCTGGTGTTTTGGGAACTTCCTCTGTCCAAGATTTCCACATTTTTCCAATCGAATGAATGTCCACAGTTGTCCACGTGTATGGATATAAGTGAGGAGATGTCATGGCGTTTGACTGCTAATTGATGTTCATGCAGGCACCACCATCTCAACTTCCTCTCTTCACCTGCACACACTTTGTATATGAGCTAGTGATATTAACCAGTCACTCAAATAGATGTAAAGTTTGAATCACCAATCAATTATCATTACACTTTATTAAGTTGATAATTGCTTATGTCTATTACTTATTCGTGATCTAAGTTATTAAAACCAACATATTATTTCAGTTTTATTTATATTATAAACTATTCAATTCACATTGATATATTGAACTATAAGCCTAATCGTTTATAGTAACAATAAAAAAAGAGATTATTTTCATAGGTGTTTTAATTTTGTAATCAATTGAGTTGTTTCTCATAATTTTTATAATAAGTATTTTATACTTATTATGATCTGAAATTTCATTTATTGATTTTATTTCAGGTTGATACTCATATACATGCATCATCATGTATGAATCAGAAACATTTACTACGTTTTATCAAGAAAACAATTCGTACTAAATCAGATGTTTATGTATGTGAAGATCCAAAAACTAAAAAGCCTATGACATTAAGTGAAGTAAGCCATAGGATTATTACCTATTCTGTCTATTCTATGTCTTTATAAGTAAATTGTTATAAGTTACTGTAATTGTAATCAATAAATTAATATTGTGTTCAATAGTTTGTATAGATTTGTTCAATATGGAAATAATTTTTGTAACGGATTAAGATTAACCGTAAAATTAAGAAACATTGGGTTTTTTTTGTGCGTGTGTCAGAGATCTGTTTTGTAGACCCCTGAACTACAACAAATCTGCAAGCATTGGTCACGTATTTTGTTGAGATTAAATACAGTGTATTAGGTGATAAGTTAATAATAATGTGGATCTTTATCTACTCATGTATTAAGTATTCATAACCGTCACCTAACTTAATGTACAACGTTGTCCGGTGTAGGAATGAGTTGGAACAAAACTAGTGATCAGAATACCAAAATGTAGTACCAGTCCATGAAGTTAGGGACTGTTGAGTTAAGCCATATTAGTAGGTTCAGACTATCTGAATGGAATTCACTTGATTATCGGGATCGGTGTTTGGAGGTATTGGCTGACAATTCATAGTCGGTCGTGATAGAGCATATATACTCACTGTTTACCTTATCTTAGGTTATAAGTTTCAAAAATAGTTTAATACCTTTGGTAAATAAATTCATTCTTTTCGAATAATATTCAGTACACCCAATATTTTTGCTGTCAGTGATATTATTCTTAATAATAAGACATACTACGGTTTTGGTATTCAGTTCGTAATCAGTATTACATTAGACTGCATATACAAGTTTACTTTCTGTCAACGGTACATTTCAGTGAGCAATTTGTTAGAGTTCATCCACATTTTTATTTTAAAATGTAATTTTTTAAAACTTCATTGAAGTGTTTTTTACATTTAATTTGCTTACTAAACATAAGTAGATTTACGGATACAATAACGCTTTTGTTTACAACTACAAACTTTCTGAATATTTTTAAGATGTCGTCAAATCTGGGAAATTTCTATATTTCTGAAATAATTATCGACAGTGTAAATGATTTTTCTCGCTATTTTTATGCATTTCGTTAAGAACAACTGATGTAAACCTTGAAAATATTATATTTTTATTTACGCCAGTAAACGGTTGTCTTTCTGTGTGAATACTGGAGATATCTGATTGTTAAAACACTAGTAAGTGAAAAAGATTGTAATAGGTTGTAAATAGAATATATACATATATAACTAAAGTGGTCTACCGACTTACCAATTGGACAGTCAACATTGCTACCATGTATCTTCAAGAAATTCTTAACCTGATGGTTTACTAACATTGATTTCTCCTGTTTGCTACATGTAATCTAAATGTAGGTTGGTTAAAACATTCTATATTGTTACTAATTTAGTAAATGATAGCTATTCATTGTTATAGATTAAGTATTGTCTTTTAAAAATTCTACAAATTAGAGACTGGAGCAAACTGTATCTACCCAGTCATAAAATAAATTGTGTTGCACTTTAATGTCGAGGTGTTCGTGTGAATTCCTAACGATTCTTCTAAATGATTTGTTATTACGTATGTTTTATTTTAAATGCAGTGAATGTACTTTAAGTTACGTTGATTTCCCATATGAATAAAATTTCGAATAATTATTTGAATGTTCCATTGTTTACGAGGTCAAACTTATTATCAAACATTCAGTCAATTGGGTGTTTCTCAATTTTTATTTGTTAAAAAAAGTCGAATCAGATACATTATATGCTAGAAAGTCAAAATTATTGTGTACTTTCAAATAACTGGGCGTTTCTCATATTTTGTTTTATATATGAGGAATATATAAGTAGAAAGTTGCCTCAATAAATTCTCATAAGGTAGAAAGTACTTACATTTTATTTAATATTGTTGTTCAATATCTGCAGAATTTTGCACTGGATTAGTGGGATAATAGCAAACAGAAACCTTTTAGATAGTGAGTAATTATTCTCTCCTTCTTCTCCATCTTACAATATCTTATGTCACACCTAACCTGTGACTGTAAAAGTCATTTATTTGATCGGATAAATATGGTATGCAACAGTATATACATTTCTAACCAATATATAACAGTATGGAAATAATTGAAATTGATATGAGTCTAGTTATTATAGTATAAACTCGGTATAAAATGTTCAAATTATGTAAAAATATGGATTAAAATAGGAATTACTGGAATTTTTATTTTATCAACAGATGACTGTATTAATGAGTTAGATACATTCATGATTATTTAATTTTTATGATTAATTTTTAACTGGAGATTATCAACTGATGAACACTGAACTGACGTCTAGTAAACTAATAATTGTACATTTCATACAATTCATCAAGCTATTTTCTCTAAAAATAGTGATTTAATAAAACAGAAATGTTGTGGATTGTACGCTTTAACAAAATGTTTTCTATTCACTGGTATAGCTGGCGCGTTCATTTATGTAGTTGGTAATACCAAGTGTTTTGTTTGTAATTACATCTCACATCATTTTGTCTTTTAAACTCATTGTATATGTCAAGGTAAATGATATTTATGCACTATTAGGTGTAAAGTTTGAAACATGTTCCATCCTTATGGATTTTAGCAGCCGAATCGTATCATTAGCATTTCATACGGGATTGATGTTCATAGCATAAAGTACATAAGTGTTTACTTCAGTGATGAGTAAACTTCCTTAATCAGGGGTCACATCAATGCAGATACGACGTACGTCCTCAACGGGTTCGTACACACAAAATAACATTAAGATGATATTTTGTTTGTATTTTTTGTTGTATTCTAAAAAAAATACAGAATTATTATCTCAGCTTTTTATATATCTTAATTTCCTGTTAACGCTAGCGAGAAAATTACTTGTCTGACCGATTTTCTTGAAACATTCTACATTCACCTTCGATTATAACAATTTCTATATTTTCGTTGATTTCTGAAAAATATTTCTGAATAAAATCAAATTTTTCTGTAAAGAGATAAAGTAGTTCTGAAGTCATTTAATGCAACCAAATGTGATTTAAATAAGTACGCTAGCGGTTCGTTTATCTAGTTTCATTTTTTAAATAATTGAGAACAATATTAGCCAACTATAAGTATCGTTTACTTATTCTGTTTTGAAATGATATAACACTTGACAAATAATAATTAGGACATTGTAAAGACTTATTTTAATTCAATTACAGAATAGCTGGCACAGTAGGGTTATCTAACATACAACACGGTAAACCACACTGTATAGCTAAGGTTAGGTCTATGTTAACAAGATTATTATTTTTCTACACTTTACATACATGTAATTAGTTCACTGCTCTGACCACGAATATTTAAAGCACGATGTTAATGTAAAATACCATGTCTCCTGAGAATATTTTCAAATCATTTTACTCCTGATCACTTTGATTACATTTCTCGCTCGGGATGGTTTGCTTACCCGTAACTATACTTAATTATTGAGTTGAATTATTCTTTTTATTATAATTTATTTTGTATATCTAAAACACATTGTTTTCACATTGAGTGCAAGAAATATCACACTAGATGTGTCGACAAAATTATTAATTGCTCGTTTTTGTTCTTTATTGAATTGTAATTGTTTTATTTGTTGTTTCATGCTTTTATTCTACAGTTGGTTGATAAAATTGGAATTACACTTTATGATTTAAATATTGACAATTTGGATGTTCACGCTGTAAGTCCAAGGTTCAACATATTTAAAAGTTATTGTCTTGCATATTTTGCCATATACTGGAAGGAGATTGTACTTTTTCATTAAAAAAATATTTAAAATTTATAGTTGGATTTTAGGTGGAAATGTTTGGTTTATAAACTGCCTCATTGGAGTGTCTTCAATGAGTATATAGTTGTTTGAGTGACGTAAACATTTAACTGTTACTATTAAATTAATGGGTGTTATCACATCTACGCTTTAAAATGGCTTATCAACATATGTCTATGCAAATGTTACTTCTGAATATAGTTAGTTAGTCAGTCAGTCAGCCATCATCAACATATAAATTGACAATTAAGCCATAGCTCACTAAAATGCAATGCACTGAAAATATGTCAAGAACAGTTTATCAAGTTATTTATTTTTATAAATTTTAATCACAGTGACGAGTAATTGTCTCTGAATGACTTCAGCTGAGTTGGACTTGCCACTGATTAGCCAGTAACTAACTATATGAACACAATTTGCAAATATCTTAAGACTGAAAGATTACAAATTAAACAGATTATCAGTTAAGTGTGGCGCATTCTTTCTCTCATTCCTATCAGATTAATAGAGTTCAAAAATGAATAAATCGAGAGAAAAAGAATTTAAAAAATGACTTTTTCAACCAAGATTTAAAGTAAAAGATCGGATATAACTGCTTTGTTGTGATTGATATTGTTCCATTTCATTCTGACTTTAACTATAAATGACAATTATTACGTGGACTTAAACCTAAAAGTTCTCGTCTACCTTCATAGATCAAATCGACAGTTGATGAATCAACAGATTAATACCGTGTCTAGATCCTCCTCCTTTAATTATTATTCAGCTTGCTACTATGTCAGCCAATATTGTTCATCAGGATAGATAATGTCTTGAGGTCTGAAGCACATACTCTAACCATCTCAGTTGATGTACGTTTATGGTTTTATCAATCGATTTTTTCTTCTACCATAGTGACGTACACCTAACCGCATCGATGTAACGTGTGAACAAATATTTTTAGCCTATGTATATCTTCTGCTTTTATAAGTCATATTTCACGGCCTTAAAGAGTTTCAACGATTTAAATTTTAGTGTAGTATAAAAAACGTACGTGAATAAGTCGTGTTACTTGATTTATAATTTATATGACAGGTTTTTATAAAGGCCGTATAAATCCTTAACTTATTATCCTATCTCATTCGCAGTCTTCATTCTTTATCACTATTCCAGTTTATCCTTTATTTATAAAATCGTATGAAATCGAATTTTTAGTTAATTTATCGTATAAATACACCCACTTATATCATAAAACCATTATTACTATGATATTTACTAAGCTGGATATAATAGCACCATATGTGTAGGTTTTCTAGGATTTCAAGTTGCTCACCTTGTTATTTATAGTTTATGAATTCATAGTGTTGTTAAATAACTAAAATAAAGGTTCGTCGATTGTATAGATAATATTACTGTGTATAATTTACATTAAAACGACGGCATATGTGTGCTAGTTGTGTATGCGTCATTTAAAAGTATCATTCTACTATGAAGTATATGGTTACACTTTTTTAAATCACAATTTTTGGCTTTCATAACAAAATTAGGAATTTGTCTCATTGTGAGAAGGAATTTGAATTATTCAATTGCTAATATTTTAAAAAGAATTTTGATCGGTCTTTGTTGGGATACGTGTGCATTCTGCGTGGATTATCTCGATGTAGCCACTTAATATTTAATCAAAAGTTTTTTCTATAGAATAGATAGATTAATGCTACCTGGAAAGTATGTTTTTCTTTATTTAGCACTCGTTAGCTGCATTTCACCGGGACTCGAACTTAGTATATTTCACTTATACGTTATCCACTGAATTCAAATAGTCATGGACTTGTTCAAGAGGATGATATTTTTTATTTGCATGAGTAAGGCTTTGAACTGTCCTGTAGTTGATATTTTTGATTGAATTTTGATTCGTTTTTGTTGGCTAACGTGCATCTTGTGCGGAGTGCCGCTACTAGCTACAATCCACCTGTTCTTTAAAAACATTGAAAACATTGACTAAACTAAACATATCCACTCACTGTTCATCAATTTTCTCCACCATATTAATTCATCCAACTGTCGATTACACTCATGTTTGATTATTTGCTAACTACTTTTTTTTGATTTGCAATATGACACCAATAATTAAAAGATTTGTTTTCAACTACGTGAATTATACTACTCTCGTAACAAGAGTAGTACTAATACATACATGTTAACCTGACAGCTATGTAGCTTATCTGAAATAAATAAATACTTAAGCAAAACTTGTTAACAATTGAACTTAATTAATTGAGTTACCTTAAATCTTTTGTACTAAGTTAGTGATGATTGTTGGTGCAATAAAATTAAGAAGAGAATGAACGTCTACTTTCCTAAGTGATATGTGGGTGTGTTATTGTTTTGTAGATAACTCACTATTTGTAGAGTATAGGAACTGGTGAATAGACCCAAGGTTCATTATATGTAAATATATAATAAAACATTCATTTGACAGAAAAATTATATATTACTTGACTGAATGTTTTACTTTTTATCTCATATATACCAATTTCCAAACGAAATGTATCAGTTGATGGAACCCTGAACCATTAGTCATATGTCAGCCTATTTCTTCTAATGTTACATCTCATTCCGTTAGCCTAACTCGTAACTATCTTTTTGGATAGTTTTCAATAGAAACTCATCGGTCTGTGATGCTAAAACCTAACTATTAGATTCACTTATTGTTCCGCTTGATATCAACTTGATGAATATTTTCAGTTCTCATTGAAGAATTGAATTTGTCAACTGACATTATGTCTTTCAAATCAAATGAACACACATGTTCAAAACTTGTTTCAAGTTACCTATCACATCTATAACGTAATGATAAAGTGCTGATTCATTTAAACTCAGTGAGCCCCAAGGAGGTTCAACCGTGTAGAAGTTTAGACAAATACCACCAATGGCAGTGACTAATATTGGTGTAATATAGCTTACCTACAAAGGATAGGTATGTAAACCATTAGATACCGATTCAGTATTATAAATTCATTTAATATTCAAGCAATTATTTAGTTGTGAAAAGGATCAAACTCCCTTCAGTTCATCAATTTCAAGTTATTTAGTACACACTAATTTATGTTACGATTTTCCTAGTTTCTATGTGAACTGTTCAAGAAAGAGCTCTATTGGAGTCACTTACATATAACTAAAATGTAGTGTGAAACTACAAACAAAATATACTTTTGAGTCAAAAAATAGATTAGATGTAAATTTTTATAAAAAAGAAAGGATGAGATTCGGAACCATCTGAAAGTTGGAAGCATTAGATAACTGCTTCAAGTGATAAAAATCTTTAAAATCTTGAAATTCATCTCTTGTAAAATCAATAAAATTTAAAGCTTTAGTAAGTAATTAGTGAAAGCGCTGTAATATATTAACATCGTACTTAGAATTGCTTTAGATTCGAATAACATTTTTCCACTTCAGTTTTTCCTTACGGACTCCGCATTATAATTAAACTAAAGCATTAGTGTGGCTACTTGTTATGACCACTTGCTCCCTTTTACAACGGAATAAGGTTAGTATATCTCGATGCAAAATAGCAGACAAGATCGCAGATGAGGGTTTATTGTATACCACAAACAGACTCCACAACAGTTACAATCACTTACCCAATATAACTATTAAAAGAATGCATGGTTTACGTATCTGGTGAATAATCAACTTCAAACACTTCGAACTAAGCAGTACTTGACAAAAATCAATCCGTTAATTCATTTTAAGACATCAATGGATTCAACTGCTTTAAATAAGAAACATAACAAAGTTACTAGATCATAAATTTGCTACTTCTCAACACTACTTAAATAGATATATGGTTTACAGTAATAAAATGATACTAATCGAGTAATAACAATCTCGGAAGTGATTATTAAAATAACTTCTAATAGTTAACTGGGTAATTAGAAGGAGGACATGTTAATAAGCAAAGTAATTATTTGTAAAATTAAAAACGTAATTAGGCAGTTGTCAGATTGCATAATATGTAATAAAGGAGTTAACAAAATACTCTGTCAAGAGGTTAATTTTAAAGTAATTACCTAAAAATCAGGAGATTGATACTAACATAGTGTAAGAACACCAAAATGAAAGAAATTTAGAAAGTTTAGAAATACGTTTGTATTCAAGCTCAGCTATAAACTACTTCATTATCTCTGACCAAGGTGGAAAGAAAGGTTTTATTCTGATAATTGATCACAGTGAAGACTGCCAATTCGTTTTGAACATTGGTGAAGCTAGGAACTATTGCTTTTTCATTATTCTAGAGTTAATAAAGCTTTAATTTTTCTTCAGATAAATCATTTTTCTGAGAACCAGTGATCTGTAAACACGATATCACCTACATTAACCGAAGATTGCAACCACTGATCACTACAATTATCGTAAATCAGTTTCATCTGAGTAAAAAATTCCAGTTTCATTCTTTTTTGACCTTAATCGTTGCACGTCTCTATGTTTTAAATACCATGAAAGCATTTTAAAAATTTTCAAATCTAAAAACTAATAGTAATCGCTTCATATTTTACCTATATAAATATGTCTATATACAAAATAATAGCATACCATGTGGTGAATAAGTGTTTCTCTCTTTTTAATTTTTTATTAAATGTCTAGCTCGTCATTCTTTGTTACACAATTTCCTTTTTTTTACTTCTGAAAAATGACGATTGGTTCGGTTTTTATTATTAAGTCACATGCTTTGGTCTATACTAAATCGTAGACATTACTGCCGAACTAAACGTATTATTGGTATTTAAACAAGACATACTACTGTTCATTAGTTTGGCAGTTTTTCTTAGTAAATCATGTGTTTATTGTCTGACTCCTCTGATAGACATACTTAGCAAATCAAATATTATCGTGATGCGAATGTGACTAGAAACAACTTAATTTTGTGGACGAGACTATTAAGTGTACCTGTTTATTGTTGTTCATCCCTCACTGAAGTTTGTTCAGTTGCATAGTGATGTTGATTTTCATTACGAAGAGGATTGTTGCTCTCACCTAAGCTTGTGTACTGGGACTGAAGAAAATGATTCATACAACATTAATATAAATAATTATTATTCCTTTTTTGCATGGCACTGTTATCATCCACATAGTAGTTTAAGTGATTATTTTTCCAGGGTTTTTGCTCTAATGCATAACTGTATCTAATTTTTGACTGAATATTTTTGTTAACCATAAGGATCGTAACACTTTTCACCGATTCGATAAATTCAACGCTAAATACAATCCCATTGGTCAAAGTCAACTACGTGAAGTGTTTTTGAAGACGGACAACTACATTAAAGGCGTTTTCTTTGCACATGTTCTGAAGGTAAATTTGTTTTTATTATTATCCTATCGTCTGTTTAGTTTTTACTCATTCACGTTACATTTATTCAAATAAATAATTAATAACACTTTTGTATTTGTAGAGATAATACTTATCTTGTATAACATGATTACTATAAGATAACCTTAATAATATGCTCTATTTGTTGAAAATTTTTTATCATAATTTATTTAAGCACAAACCTATTACTGTTGGGGGTGTTAGATCCCCAGAACTCACTTGGTAAATGCCTTAATTTTATGATTTTATTTTGGAAATTTAAATTTCCTTGTTTTCGCGCCAAAAGCACACTTTCCACCTTCATGTCATATTTCCCACTTAGGAAAATTTTTAACGCTGTTGGTCCGTTGTGTATTTTTAGTATGATATTTTTGCAACGCTTCCCAAGGACAGTTTTATGCTGTATATATACGTTCGATTTGTGTCTGTTATGATTCACTCGTGCTTCTGGCTTACGGAATATACTTTCCCGTTCCAGGCTTGGACTTCTTCCTCTAGTTAGGGGGGCTGGGACGCATCGAATAGCTAGCTTATTGGTCTACGGTCACCAGTCTTTGTTCCGTTCGCATACTAATTGAACTCGTAATAGCTTCAAACCTAGCAATTACTCATCAAATAAATACCAAGATGATATACCATTGAAAGTAATGTGATAATATTATACTAAATTAAGAGAAACTTTCTTTTAAGTTATAATTTTTCACGTAAGAGGAGAAGGGAAATTGTTAAAAAGGCATTAATTTGAAACCTTGAATACCACATCCTGAATTCTCAACCTTTACCAATTTCACCTTATAGGTCACAAACACTTGGATTTGGCAACCATTAAATTGTCCATTTTATGGTCATTTCTATGGTTGGATTTATACATATATATAACATACTTTTTAAGCTTTGATATCATTCCGCTAGTGTTTCACCATTAACCCAGGTAACCTCGTAGAGTTCAATATGGCGAAGTTAATATGTTGACTTAGGTCTAGTGTATTTATCTCTTTGATGTTTTATTGTTCTATCGTTCTTCTTCCTATGATTTGCAGTACCAGTGACTGCTCAACGACACTTCAAACAATAACTTCGTTCTATCCCTCGACTCAACTTCAGCAAACCACAAATATTGAAAGGAACATTTATTTGGTAAAGATGACAGTAGTATCAAGTATATTTGAGTTTATTCAGTTGTATACTGATTAAGTGATTGTTAGATACAGAAATTGTTAATCTTAATAGTTAGCATTTAAATACGAAATTAAAGGATATTAATTAATATCATAAGGATAAATTGAAAATTAAATGAACAGACTTTACAGTGATTGACTTATTATTGAACAGAAATTGTCTGACATATCAACATGTAGATTTTATGTTTAATGTCTTTTATTAAGGCAATTAGCATTTTTAACGTCATTTTATGATCATTACTATACTTTGGTCCATGATCTTTCACAACGCTTCATTCATTGTCTGAGTTGGATAGCTGTCTCACTTCCGAAACGGATTGGTCTTCACTGATCACGACTTCTCTCTAGAAATCCAGGATTTCGATCTTGAAGCTGGTCACTAGTGTGCACATGATTATTATCAGTATGGGGATTTGTGAAAATTGCAGTATTTTCAAAGTTGAATTCACGAGTCTATCTAAGCCAGACCACCATCGGAAACCTGGAAGCGCTGGATAACCGTTCCATCCTAGTATGGGACTCCTTAGCAGTGCGTATCCACGATCTCACACACAGGACTGGAGCCCAGGATCCTTGGGTCTCGTGTGCTAACACCTAACCTCTAGACTACTGAGCCAGCATCCAACTACAATCTCCACAAATCCTCGTTATGATAATAAATATTATTTAGATCATGAACCGATTGATGTTAGACCACCATTGAAACCTGGAAGCACTGAATGACCGTTTCGTCCTATTGTGCGCATCCACGATCCTGCTCGCGGTATTCAAACCCAGGGCCTTCACTCTCGCGCGCGAACGCGAGACTGATAATAAATATTATATTTTACTATTGAAATTTCATGTCAATTATTTAATAGAATAAACTTGATTTGTGTTACATTACACGATTGTCTCATCTTTCTTTAGTTCTCCTTTTGAATAGTTTATACTTTCAATCATTTTCATATTGAAAATTCCAATCATAAAGTGTCCCAGTCATAATTTCAATGTTAATCCTTATTGAATTAGAAAGTTACAATTTAAATTCGTTAGTACTGTCAATAATTATTGTTACGACTTTAATGTTTTTCACAATTAATCGTCAGTCAGTTCAGAGGTCTGAGTCAAATGACTGTTGATTGATTTGACTTTAACCTTTGGTTGGTATAACTGTATTGTTATTTTATTTGTAAAAGATTTTACGTTAATACTTTTCGATTTATTCGATTGGATAGTTTCTCTTTTAAATTATTTAATAAATATTATGATAGTGCATTTGATCATTAAACTAATTCTGTTATATTGACATTCAAGCGCATTATTATTACGAATCTATCGAGTTCACATACTGGTTTATTTAGTGAATCTATAGTTTCTACCATTTGACAGATTAAACATTTGATAGTTTTTCAACTGGTTGGATTCAAATGTGTTTTGTTTTACACTAATCCTTGGTTTTTTAAATATATCTCCTTTGTTGGTTGAGTTTATGGAGACTATTTTAGTTAGTTCACTGTAGTTATCCTTCTGTGCCTGTCATAGTTTCATGACTAACGATAATAATATTATCACAGTGGTAATGTTTTAACATTTCTCTGTAATCATTCTGCCTCTTTTTTCCTTTCCTCAAATATCAGGAAGTGTTCTATGACTTTTCTGAATCGAAATATCAAAATGCTGAACCACGTCTTTCAATTTATGGTAGATCTATCAATGAATGGGATAATTTGGCTAAATGGGCTATCGATTGTAAAGTTTATTCTGATAATATACGTTGGTTGATTCAAGTGCCTCGTCTTTTCGATGTTTATCACGCCAAAGGATCGATGAAATACTTCCAAGTAAGTTCATATATTTACACATTCCTAATACACCTATTAGTGCCCCGTGATCTGACTCAGACAAATGGTCGTTATTGAAAGATTGCTGTCGAAATATACTTCCTGATTATTCTCGTATATTATGATCGACTTAAATCGCGTTATTGAATAACGGAATTATATGGGCCAAATACGAGAATGGATTTCGAATACATATATTTTGTACACTCACTGTTCTGGGCAGGCAATCAGAGGGACGAAGCGAAGAAAGAGAAGCCAGCGAAACAAAATGACGCACAGTGGAGAAGTAGTGTGAGCCAACTCAATTTAACCAAGCGTTAATCATTATTGATAGTCACACCAAAATAAGCTACAGATATGTGATGAGTAGGATAAGAAGTGTAGACACATACGCTCATATAAATACAGTCAGGCTTGATAAGTGAATTAACAAGATCATAACATGACTCAAGAAGTATCGATAAATTTGCCTGTTCAGAAGCCAGAATAAGTTATATGGGCTTAACATAATAATCGAAGTCAATAACAATGACTACGAGCGTTTTAGGAGCAGTTGAAAGGTTCCACTATATTATTGACATAGTTTAGTTTTTTTCTAAATAAAAAATTATGTGAAAAAGTTTTCAGTGAAAAAATACATTAAAAGTAGTTAAATTCCTGAAATCGAGTTGAGATAAAATAAAATAATTCAATATGTTAACCTTTTCCCATAATCGAATTGTTTCTATTACATAAATTCCCCAATTCCCTATTATTAATGATTCGTACTTTTAGTAAAATGTAGGTCATTGTTTTTTTCTTATATTTTAACGAAAGTTGGATTAAATTGACCAGTTGATCATCAGCTGGCTGGTGAATAGTTCATATTACTTTCTGGAACATGTTGGCAAAGAGGTTAAATCGATAATGTTTTGTAAAACAGATAGTTCCCACTTATTCGTTGTTTACTTTCCTTGAGAAATCATTGTGGAGTCTTTCAATAATTGAAAATAGTATTAAAATATCATTGAAATGCATTAGATTTTTAGTTTTATTTCTCAGTTTTATAAAGTGAGTATATGAAAACATATGAAAAGCACCAACTCAAGTATTTTGACTGATGTTTATCACCTCAGAAATTTTAATGTATCAGGCTCCTCCCTAAGGCTTGAAGACCATGTATTCTATTCTGTTCTTTTGGGGATGGTGAAATGTTGATTTACCAATGAAATAAACAAACAATCGATCACGTATACAATAAAATAATAAGTAATTTATTTAAATATCTGTCAATCGTTTTGAAATACATACACTCAGAATAAGCTTGAATTGACTTTTTGGAAGGAGAATAAAGTTTGTAATAAGATTACAACTACTCAGTGCTTATTATATTGAAGTGAGCGGAAATTCTAGTTGGGAAAGCCAATCTATTATTTAATACAAAATTACAGATTGGTTCCGTTATATATGAAAACCATGCATTAAATACATTACTTGCACATCTCCATTCAATTGTCCTTCACATACTTCATTATTCTTTCAGTTATGTTGTTGTTACAATTGATCCCTATTTACATTTATGCTCTCTTTAATTGAATCTGCTCAATCTTGTCCTGGAAGGCATTTTACTTCTGATTGGTGTTACATACTACTTATATTTGTCAACATACGTGGCACACACTACAAAATTTCTGTTTACAATACAATAAAATCATAAAAGTGTTTTATTTTTGTTATTGCTGCTAGAATTGTTAAACAGCCAACTTTATTGACCAATTTTTACTCCTCATATCAAACAGAAAAATGTTGTGTTAAGTAAACAATAATGATAAGCGAAAGCTATAAATTTCAGCTGTTATGTAACACAAAAAATGATCATTGAATTTAAATATTCAGAATTCTTTTCATCGCTTCATTCCAATGAAAATGTATGTAATTCAATTTTCTACAATATTATATGTTTAAAAGTAACTGAATCGTTGAATTTTAAGTCACCAAAACTCAGTTTACTATGTATGGTATTTTTTTTAGAATAATGTTTTAGTTTTCTTCATAATTCTTTTCATTTCAGGATATTATCACAAACGTCTTTCAACCATTGTTCGAGGTAACTGTCAATCCTAAATCCCATCCTGAACTACATGCATTTCTACAATATGTAACTGGTTTTGATTCAGTGGATGATGAATCGAAATCTGATAAAGTTGTATTCAATGCATCAACTCCTACACCGGATGTATATGATTTAAATGAGAATCCTCCATACTCTTATTATATATTCTATATGTTTGCTAATATATCTCAATTAAATCAACTTAGAAGGTGAGCATTTTTCTTAAAATGTATTTTTGGGAATGATGGTTAGTAGTGAGAAGTTATATTTGTTATGTTATGTTTATGCAAGTATGCAGTCAGTTTATGAAACTTACATCTTTGATTCGGCTATCTTAAATCCAGTCACTTTTTTATATAAATGATTCTTATATAGTTTAGGCGATTTGTGAAGATTGTTGAATTTTCGCGGTTTACATTATAGACTGATTTTAGTTCAATATTTATTGAAAACTAGAAAACACTGGATAGCTGTTTTATTATAGTATCACTATATCACGAATTAATTGAAGTTCAACTTTCACACCACTGAATGATGGTTCAAGCGTTTGCACTTGAGACAAAAGGGCTTGGATTCAATCTCAAAGTTGAGATAGCTGTCCAGTGTTTTCTGTTATTCAAATTATTATCTAAGTAAAAATCACTCACTGACGGGATTAGTATATTAATTGTTCAGTTATGGGAATCAGTTCATGTTTAAGGTCATCATGTGTATGCACTATTATTAAATTGAAATTATTTATAGATTGAAAATAGTTATTCACTTTATCTCGCCAATACCAACGAGATAAACCTTTCGATTTATCTCTAAACAACCTATGAATAACGTTGAATCGATCGTGTCATGATGATGCAAATTATCACGTAAAATAAAACATAAATACTGTAAACTTAATTCTGAAAAAACAAAAAAAATTAAACAAAAATAAACAGAACTAATAAAACAAAATAGACTTATTAGAATAATATGAATTCATTCATTTTATAGATTAGCCTTCAACTGCTTAAAAATTGGAAATGATAGTATTAATTAAACAAAGATGGATAGTGGTTATCAGTGGAATCGAGGACGTGCGATTCGTCCTATTTTGGGTATCGTCAGCTGAATGTACCTGCATCGCAGAGTTGATGTTCACTCTGGGACTGGAATCCAGTACCGTTCCCTTCAAACGCCATCGCGTTATCCACTTAGCTACTGAGTCCTGATATCCATCCACTTGTGCACTGCTAGCCACTATCCATCTTTGCATAAAAAGCTTGTTACTTAAGGCTTTATCAAGGCAATCCGCACAGGATGCGCATATATCAACATGAGATTGATCAATTGCAGTCCTAAATAACAATGGGAAGATACAAGTAGAACAACACCAAGTGGTTAATATTAATTATTCAGAAACAAGATGGTTTACATACTCTATATAAAAAATATTCTTATTAATGAACAATAATAAACCAACAATAAATATGGGAGAATCCTAAGAGATTTTCATGTGTTTGAATAATTCTTTGCTTAATAGTGTGAACATTCAAAAGAACATTTTAAGAACGACTAGGGATAGTTTAATGATAAAATTGATACAAAAATTCTTAATTCGAAGACCAATTATTAATGCACAGATATGTGATTTCCTATACGGGAGCGAATCTAAAAACTTCCAGGTTTCTCTGGATAAACTATCGAATCAACTTACTTGATTCACAATGTAGCTCGATGATCTTCCTATATAATCTTTGATAACTGTCTCACTCTTAACATATTCATACTTCACTGATTAATGATTTCTAAATGAACTTCAGGAATCCGTTTTCTCAATAATCATTAGTAGGCATACTATTAACGTTTATGCAGAGAATTTGTGTGAATCATTCAATTTGAGACTATTTTTCATCATGGTCTATGATCGACTGTTTGGATAAGAATTATGTATTGATTTCTAACGTTCAAATGTTAAATCGAGGTAATACTTACATTTTTCCCGAATACCCATTTTCTACTGTCATATATTCAGTAGTTTAAAAGTGCACTTTAAATTTGTCTTTCTCTTTGTCCACTAGCGTGAGTTAAAATTTTGTTCTAGAATTATTTTATTTGCGGACCTTGATATAGAATTGTGTGTCCATTAATTTCGGTGTTAAATTTCTTCCGGCATGAAATCGGAATTCATTCACTGTGCATACACTTTTTACTGGTGTTGTTTTGTCGGAGTGGAATTAACATTATCACCTCAAATGATGATATCACTTATATTTTTTTGCTTCAAAAGGACAGTTATCCTACGATTTTTGAAAGCAACCTGTGGTGATAGGTGTGATCATAAATTTCTAAAAATTGTCCTATTGTTCCTGTAATCTCTTTTTACCTAATCCCTGATTAATCATTATTCATGGGAATTCAATTGATAACCGTTCAAAACATCGGTCAGGAGTGCAACAATCAAGTAGTTTTTTGGGCTGACTGTATCTCATAGTCGTCGAATTATAACAATAAATTCTGTTTACATCATTGTTTTTAGGTTTAATAAAACATAATTTTAACGTAACATTTGTTAGCCTATCGGCAATCAATTCATGGCATTTCTTTTCATTAACTATTCATGTTTTCTTATACAACTAGTTCGTAATGTTGCTTTTTTCATCCTATAAGCAGAGTATATTAATTTAGTCATGTTCTTATGTTTTTCTCGTTGTGTGTTTGCAATTCTTTTTCAGTCATCGTGGCTTAAATACATTCTCATTTAGACCTCATTGTGGTGAAGCAGGTAATATTAATCATTTGGTTACTTGTTTCCTGTTGGCTGAAAGTATCAATCATGGTTTGTTGTTACGTAAAGCTCCTGTTCTACAATATCTTTACTTTATTGCTCAGGTAAAATGTTTAGTACCGTTTTCTTTTCGACAAACATTTATTTGTTTATCATGAATGATGTGAATTAGTAGATCATGTAAACATTTTATGTTTACAGTGCATCTTATACTTATGTAGTTATTTACCAATTTTGCAGTTCTAGAAACTGATGAAACTGTTTTAAGATTTTTACTGGTGATTGTGGTATAGCAGTTTAAAAATCCCCATAGAATATATTCAAAAGTGAAGAATATTTGAGCGAACACTTGTTTTCAATAACTTCATCATAAGATTCTACAGTTATAAGTCCATAATTATGATATTTTACAAAGGCCAAAAATAAGGCATGTATTAATGAATTTGACAATGTTATGTGTCAAAAATGGTGAACGTTTGCATCTGTTACGATATATATACTCCAAAATTCTATTATTTGCAAATTAGGAATGTCATTCAATAAAGGTCAGGATGATTTAGAGTAAATTGTCTAGTCACAATAAGTAGAATTGTATTATAGCAAAAATGGAAATTTTGATTGGGATCATGAACCGATTGATGTTAGACCACCACTGAAAACCTGGAAGCACTGGACAGCTATTTCGACTCATTGCGAGACTCCTCAGCAGTGCGCATCCACGACTCCGCTCGCGCGCGAACACCTAACCTGCTGGACCACTGAGCCGGTGTCCAATGATGTTAATGTCTGACCTCAACCAATCCACGGAGTTGCGCAGACCATCTTCCATTGTACTGAAGTAGACACCTGTTTCTACCCGACACAGATTAGCTCCACTGGTCACGGCTTCTCAGCAGAACTCCGAGTCCCACAATAGGACTAAACGGCGATCCAGTGCTTCTAGGTTTTCAATGGTGGTCTAGTGTCAATCGGTTCACGATCTCAATCAAAACTTAACAATCTCCACAACCCCTATAATGAAAAACGAAAATGCGAAATTGTGTGAATAAGATGCATAGTAGGAGAATTTAATCTTATCAGTTTAGATTATAATATAATCTGTAATAAAGGGGATGTTATCAAGGTAATTATGATTGCCCCCAAATACCCTGGTATGGCCGAGAGTGGGGTGGGCCCGCCCTCCCTCTCGAGATGCTCTCACACGGCCACGTGTATACAGCCTCTGCCAGGGAAGTCCTACTCACTGCCTTCTCGAGGTGGGGGTGTTGTTTACGAAAATGAGAGGGCGAAAAGCGAATGTCCGGCGCTTTAACTGGATTTCAAACCAATGGTGCACATGGGCTCCAGTATCTTGCGGGAACAAAAGGCGTATGAACCAATCGTTGGTCACCGGCTACCATGGGAATGCATCTCCTCACGATGCTCCACTGCCTTGTGGATCAGACCTTTAGGTCAAAGGCTCGGGGTGTGGCTCCCTATGAAAACCACCTGCTTCGGTCTGGGCACCCAGGCAGTATCACAGCCCACACACACACAAATATGGTGTGGCGCATATATATTTGATGCCCTATTGTACCAATATTTGTGTGTTGAAATAAATAAATAAAAATAAATAATTACGATAAACGAATTGGGAATGGTGGATGTGAAGTTTGGGATAGAGGTAATTAAAAAAAAGAGGGGGGAGGTAAGATGTTTATAATATTCAGTTTAGGTATCCGGTGATCCACTCGTGGGCCAAGGTAAACATAGAGGCTGGATACATAAGTTTGGTTTTCTGGAGTTGATCCAGATGATTTCGGCTGTGTATAGCAATCGTAATCTAGCTCCTTGAGGTAGATATTTTAGAACTTGATATAAAACAGAGAGAGCTTCCTCTATTTTGATATAATGTTCACTATCTACCAAGTGTGAAAGAATAGTGCTGTTAATCGATATAGTAATTCCTTTTCCCAACCATGCTGGTACATGTTCACGAACACGCAAGGATAAAGCCCTCTGAGTACGACCTATGTAACTAGCTCCACAGTTGAATTGATATACATTTATGGAGGAGCCCATCTTCGGTAACCTATCCTTGATTAGTTGTGTGAGTACTGGTTTAGTTGAGAAAATTATGTGTAACTTAGCGGCGTGAAACGTCCTTTCAACAAATCTTTTGAGCCGACGTGTTAAAATATTACCCTCTATGTCCCCTTTAAGGTCTAGTCTCAGGTTTTTTTACTGACTTTGTCACAATTTCTTCCTTTTTTAGGACTTTCTACGAGGTATTTTTCAACGAAATTATCTGGATAGCCATTATTTCGTAGTGTTCTTTAGTATATCTATTTCGCCATCCACACTGTCTTCAGGACATAATAACTTGATTCTGTGGTTGAGACATTTAATCTAATTTATTTTATATTGAAGAAATTTCATAACTGCATAATTTTCTTATACTGAAACTTACTAATTACTCTTATTAACCAAGTCATTAATATAAATAAATAATATATTTGTAGTATCCCAATGAGTAGAAAATCTAATTTTCTACTCATTGGGATACTACAAATATATTATTTATTTATAACAATCTACCCAATGCTCAATTTATTCGAAATTATCAAATCAAACCTTGGTAATGATACATACAAGTCATTAATAGTGGAGTTCACCAAGTTCGAGGTAAGGAAGCTGTTGGCCAAATAACATTAGGTAATCGATGCCAAGCTAGATGCTTATTTTTGTTAGCCAAACCAAAAACTGTATGTTCCAAAATTGTATAATTGTATAAAGAAATATGACGTATACATTTCACTAGTTAATCGCAGAATAATCGATTACATGATTATCAGAATAGATTTGTAGAGATCGTTGAATTCTTATTGAGGTCATGAACCCATCAATTTTACATCATCACTGAAAGCCTTGAAGCACTTGACGGCCGTTTCGTCCCATTACGGGACTCTTAGGTAGTGTACATCCACGACCGAAAGTCTCGGGTTTAAGTCCTGCGTGTGGGATCGTGCGTGCGCACTACTGAGGAGTCTTACACTTGGACAAAACGGCCGTTAAGTGCTTCCACGTTCTCAGTGGTGGTCTAACGGTGATCGGTTCATGATTTCGACTGCATAACTGGCTAATACTAACTCAGTAAAATAGTCCAGTGATTAGCTGTTGCCTATCAATGATTTGTCTTCATTTGATTTCTTTGAAATTCTTTCACGTAGCTGTCAGTCACAATTAAACTAAGGATAAAAGTCGACCTAGATTTTCCTGAAGACTTTTTCGTAAAATAGCCTATCGAAGTATACCCACTCGGATGCAGAGTAAACGTTCGTTTTATTTATCTGAAGTTAATTATATTTTAAAATTCTATCTAAATTTATAATAATTTTCTTTTGTTAGTTAGTGAACCTATTCATGAGTTTTTTATTTATTCATTTTTTTTCTATAATGCCTCAAATCTTCAATAACAGATCGGAATAGCTATGTCACCCTTGAGTAATAATTCTTTGTTTTTGGATTATCATCGTAATCCATTGAATGACTTTTTAGCACGGGGTCTGTTTGTCAGTCTTAGCACTGATGATCCTTTACAATTTCATTTTACTAAAGAACCATTGATTGAAGAATATAGTATAGCTGCTCAAGTATGGAAATTCACATCTACTGATATGTGTGAATTAGCACGTAATAGTGTTTTGATGAGTGGTTTTTCTCCTCTGGTAAGTTATTATGATAATAATAATTATTATTATTTGTGTAAGATTATACATTTCGTTATCTGAATATCAATTGTAGAGAAATGGTTCCATTTTTACGCTTTCTTTCATGAAAGTTTAGAGGTATTGTACAATTTTTAGTGGTATACTCATAAAATAGAGCATATAGATATATTTTGAGATGGTGGAGAAGATTTGTAGCTCAGGTGGATGATTTTGGTGGAGTTTTGTTCTCTGAGCTGGATGGTTTGGTCGTGGAGCTTTCATCGTTCTTCTGAACGACATCATCAGCACAAACTTCAAATAGAACAAAAATCCACCAAAATATATATATATTGTCATTAAGTCACATTTGTGGCACAATATATTGGGCAATCATTTATTTAGAAACATAGATATTTCAACATTTTTCGATACCTTTTTATAATGAACTATATTATAGTGATGTGTTCATCTTGTTTAACTTATGTAATTTTGAATATCCATATTTTGTAAACATTTTATTTTAGATTTAAGAGCTGAAGTTAAATGTAGACTTTTTTCTTGGTTCTCAGGAAATAAATTACTTCTGTATCCACAATTAAAAAAGATAGATCTTTCAAATTAGTATCAGTTATATTCCCTTTAAAATCTCGTATTAACCAATTAAATTTGTCTTAGGTAAATGAGTTACTGAGATGCTTTTTAAACATGTTGATTGTAACAGTTTAATTACCAAACTTACCTTGGAGCGTGACGTTTGAGGGTGTAGGAGTAGGTTACAAGAACGGTAGGATCGTTCGAATAAGGGAGGATATCAGTTTATCAAATAATTTATTATCAGGTTTGTTACGTCCTATGGCCCGTCACAATTTACGTGACAAAATCACCTATAAGAACACTTACATGACCTTGTTCCTGTGCTAAACCAATGTCGCGTTAACCAGCCGACCATCTCTGAGTCCTTATTGGTCCTCGGTAAGGTAGATTCTCGCCCAACTCAGCCCGCTCAGTCAAGAACACAAATATCAGCCTCCGCTATACGAATCGTATATTTCTGACATAGTTTATATAAAATCAGACCAGACCGCATCACTCCATCAAATAAAAAATAATTATAGAAAATCAAGCCAAAAGTAGCTGTAAGTGTGAGAGGCTAACTCATAAATTGGGAATGACTTAAGAATAGTAGACCGTATAATAATAGCCAACAGGTCAAATGAAAGTTTATGATAAGAGAAATGTAAATATATATAATCTAGTTAGTTAATAGTTATGCAATAAGAAATATATATATATAATAGCAGTCCATAAATATTTCCCAGAAGTTACCCATAATTTTATCTTCTTCGGATACAACAAGGTTGTAGGTAGGTTAAGAGCACCTGGTCGGGGTTCGGGCGGTTATCATAACCACTGGTTGGAGGAAACATCGAGTCATAGCTGAAAATCGGTCGAAATGGCACATATGAATTCAATTTCCATCTCCCTTTAGATCACGTGTTTTAAAATTTTCTCATGCATTATAACTTCCCGAATTCATATTTTCTTGAATTACAATGTCTCTCTTTATCGCCTTCTATTAACGCGGATACTGTTACAACTTCTACTACTCTAATATTTTAGATAATTTTATCTAACTGTGCTGGTATAGTGTGGGAGCTTTCTCTGATGGCCATATATTTCATGCTCTACTTAGTTTGCAAATGACTGACTGACTAACAGTTTAATTATTTTATTTCCTAATTTGTTGTTGTTCTGTTACAGATTAAATCTCATTGGCTTGGACCTAATTATACACAAGAAGGTGTTATGGGTAATGATATAACTCGAAGTAATCTACCCAACATTCGCGTTGCTTATCGTTTTGAAACTTTAACACAAGAATTACGTTTGTTGTTAAATTCTGTGTTAGCGAGTCGAACTAGTGGATCTGTTTCACCTGGTAGTAATACAGTAATGCATTCTCCAAAAAAGAATCATATTTCAACAGATTCTAGTCGAATCGATCATTTAAAGAAATGATTATTCTTGATATAATATATATACAATGATTATCGATACTAATTAGCTGCTAGTAACACTTTTGTCTTTTCTTTTAAATGTGAATTCACTTATCTTAATTTGAATTCTTCTTTCTGAATATATTTGTTCATGGTTTGTTATGAATTAAACAGTTGTAACACATTCTAACATTCATATAAATATCTACACTTCTTACAGATAAATATCATAACGTGGAAAGTAATTTTTCATCCACATATTCACATGATCTACATTTTTCTTTCTTTCTGATGTGCTTATTTTGATTTATTATTAATTAATTAAGAGTCTTAATATAAGTACCATTTCATGCAAAATATTTTATTACTATTATTTCCGGGAATAATTGTATCTCACTTACACCATTCATCATTTAATGATGATAATCCACTGTTTAAACTTTCTCTGCGTTCATCAATTCTGATGAAATGTTGTTAACACCACATCTACAAGGAGAAATTCACTACATTGATGATCATTTTAATTGTATCATTAAAGATAATAATTTGTGCGCGAATATACACACACACAAACGCACAAGTTGAATGCATTTACGGTAAAAGTGCAAATGTTTTAATACAGTGTTGATTAATCTGGTTAAAGATGTTTATGTTGCTTTTTAATTGTGTACGGTAACAAACCTTTGTGTTATTATGTAATAAGAATGAACTTTGTAATATCATTAATGTCTATCATGTGTTTTTTGTTTGAAATACACAATTATTTGTTCAACCAATGTTTATTTTAAAAATAATCATTTTAAACAAGAATATTTTCTACTTACTCATTCGGTTTGATTATCTATCTAGAAAGTGAATTGGTTTATTTTTAGAATTGGAATATGTACGATATGATAGATATAATATAACTACTTTACATTGTTTAATCAGAGATGGGAAAAAGCACAAGAGGATGGAGGACGTTTTAGTGTGTTTATGTATAAATCGATTAGCACCATATTTATTCTGGTTAGAGTTTTTTTAGTAAGGCTTTTTTCTACGGAATGGGATTGCCGACCCCATTCCCAACCCTCCTACTTTGCCCGACTTTGGGACGGACAGTAACTTTAGAAGAGCTATAGGCAGAGAACAATAGTTATAGAACAATAATAATAGTCAAATATTATGAACTCATCTTAGTTTCTAGTTTCTCCTCAGCTGCTTACAATCATATCTGTTTTTAAACATAACATAATATTAAATAATATACCACTGGTAACTGAACAATTTGGAATGACGACGATATTCTGTATTATATATGTATAAATAAATAAACCAAATATGTGTAAATTCATTTGAAAAGATATATTAAGAGAATATAAGAGGGAGCAGTAGTTAGCTAGAATCTGAAATTAATAAGGTGGATTGGATTATAATTGTCACTCTTCAAATAACTCACAGTTATGCTCTCAATATCCTTATTCAAATGACTTGTTTTTATATATATTTATTTATACGTATATAGTACAAGTTATTGTTGTCATTCCAACTTGTTCATTTACCAGTTTTAATATTATATTGTCTGTAGACAGATTGTTTGTAAGCAGCTGAAGAGAAACTACAAATTCAGATGAATTCACAATATTTTGCTCTAATTATTATCCTAGCTTTATAAAAATTCATGAATGGAACTGATATATGTTTCACTCGATTTGTCATTTCTGATGACCATTAGTCGATATTCTGTCGGTCGGTATTCACTTCACACATTACTCATTTGGTTTCACAGATCATGTGTGACTGAATATTATTCATAAAATAATTCAAAAAGTACTTGATATAGTACATATTCAAGTGATGTTCAAGCTCGGCTAGACAAAACTTATATATATTCTTTTGTATATGTAACTGAGCCCCCAAATGTCCTGGTACGACCAAGGGTGGGAAGAGTCAACTCTCCGTTTCGTAATGTTCTCACATGGCCAAGCGTATACAGCCACTGCCAGGGAAGTCCTGCTCACTGCCTTCTCGCTGCTGGGGTGTTGTTTACGATATTGAGAGGACGAAAATCAAATGTCCGGAGCGTTAACCGGGTTAGTGGATATGAAGGATCCATCGAGGGGAGTTGGGAAACCCTGATTCCAAAGCAATGATGCACATGACCTCCATGAACCTGAGGAGTCAAAAGATATATGAACCAATTATTGATCACCAGCTATCACGGAACTGCATCTCCTGACGTTGCTCCACTGCCTTGTGAACCAGACCTTCACGTCAAAGTCTCTGAGTGTGGTCCGGTAAGGAAACCACCTTTGTCGGTTTGGGCATCTTGGTAGTATCACTGTGCACACACGAATCAATTGACTTGTGTGACTCATATGTACTTGGTGCCCCCTTGTACCAATATTTATGTGTTAAAATAAAATATGTAACTATGATTGATATATTCGTGTCAAGCAGTATTTGAGTAGCGAACAACTTAAGAGACACAAATTCAGTTATCCATCTACAGAATCTCAGGTTAAAGAAAATATTTCATTTTGAACATGTTGCTGGTTATTTACGCAGTGATAATTATGTGTTGTGTAAGCTATACGGGTACACGCAAAAGCTGTTAATAATTTTTTTATTTATTGCAAACTACTGAATAATAGTAAGTAAACAATGTCTAAATTGATATCTTTGTTCGCCACGCAGAAAACAAATTCTCATTACTAAACGGCATATTTACAACTAGACATTTCTCAAAATTTTCAGTGAGAGAAGTATTTTCTCTTTTTCACACGTATGTTAAGCATTGATTTATGATCCATGGTGTTAACGTTAGTATGAAAGCAATGATAACTGACATTTGATTGTAAGAACCTCGTCAAAACTGATATACTGTTAAACAGGTTCAAAATATTTGTAGAGTGGTGGTCTAAATCAATATGATATAGACTTGACAGAAAACTACATGAATCTATAGGGTAGTGTGAGTTTGAATGTTTGTGGAAATCAAACTGGTCGTTTATATGCCATTTCTCTCATAAAAAACATTAGGCATGTCTCTAGCTTCAGCTTCACTAAGGACAAAATCTAACCTCACATGAAGTACTAATTTAAGCAGTGTGGATTATCTTGGAAACAGTTTACTAGAGCTATTCAGAGACAATTTTATTCAACTTATGACCAATTTTGTTTGATTTTTCTATGTGCAACAAAACATTTAAACTAATGTTGACTAATCTATTATTTTAATTCGTAGTACTAATAGTTGAAAACATCCAGATTTATGGTAAAAAATCAAAATATATTTATATTATTAACAACAACTACTACATATGTTTAATTCGTGGACCCATCGTGTAATGTCATCAATTTTCAGTAGTATCGAGGTCTGAATTCATTTTACACATGTCAAGGCTTAGATTGGCCTACCGACTGACAGGCGATGCACGATAGAGCTAATTAATTAAATTTAGAAATGTAAACCGTTTAATCGAAAATTAGTAGTTTAAACTAAATAGATTTCTTATGAGGTCTGTAGGTCCTAGTTATATCTCTCTCTGGCTCGTTTATGGGGATTACTGAGGACTATCATAATAAGATAAAACTGCTATTCATTGATTGTCTAGATAAAGTCAATTCATGATATGATCTGCAAAATTATTTCATTTTTTCGATCCAAATTTTAAAAATTGTGGCAAAATCTCTGATACAGACCATTATGTTCATTTAATTAAGAAGTAAATAAAGCTTGGACAATAGATTATATGAATGATTAAAATCCATATTCTTTCTTATTGTTATTTAAATTAAATTAATTAAGAATGGGATGACTGTATACATAAATTGAATTAAGGAAAAACAAGTTGAATTACAATTTATTGAAAACAACCAAACTAGCAATGAAGTGAGATATTGCGGGAGTTTACGTAAGTTTCGAGAATTAGTTGATTTAAAAACCGATGGATGATGGGATGATCTTGATGTTCACAAAATAAGAATTGGTTTGACAAAGTTCACATAACAAAATAAACACTAATAAAATGATGATGACAATAATAATGACAACAATGACAAGAACAAAAATAATAATTTACCGAGGTAGTGACAAGTTGGTCACTGTGTTTTTCTGGATACATAAATCAAATTTGAGTTTCCTTATCGCTACCACTTCGACAAACTGCAAAGACGCTGTTTTTTGTTGGCTAATAATTTTGAAGAATTATGGATTGTTAATGGTATGCCCAGTATCAGTTAAATGCCAGGCCATCGGATTATTTAGAGCCGTTGGGCCTCTCAGTCTGAAATTCATCGAAAGGTGCTCAGAAATGTGAACATGTACTGTTTTTTCTGTTTTTTCAAGGTATGTGATTTCACACGTACATGCAAAGTGGTAAATGCAATTGGATGTACTGAAAAAAGAAGACCTTTTAGTTTTTCTTTGTTTGACTGAGTAGTTTGTTTCGTATAACATATCAGTCTTGTTGAAGGATAAGCAACCTGCATCTTGGCATTTATCCTGTGGTTAATAATTCCACTAATTTAATCTTCTTTGAAGCGCGGACATAAGAAGCAGAGTTTCTTTTTCACTGTATTTAACATGTACATTGATTTTAGAATATTCTCCACAAATTTCGCTGGATATGCATTTTCACGTAGGTAAGTTGTAATGAAGTCAATTTCTCCTTCCAGGCTTTCTTTTTAGTAAAGTTTACGAATGCAATCTAAAGGAATTTATACAATTCCCTTTTGTAACTATTAAGACAGAAGCTGTAGTGGTTTAGATAACCTCTACCTCATTTATTTTTTAAATGAATGTGCCTTTGTAGTTTGCCGTCTGAAGGTCACTTGATTCAAACATAAAAGCATTAGAATCTACCCTTTACTTCATGTTCCTTAGTAAAATCTAGATCATTGTGTGCTCTGTTAAACATGTCTTGTAGGTACATAGAATCGTTCTGATTGTTATAAACAAAAAATCTGTTATCAGTATGTCTACAATTGAGTGTAGTTCCTTCGATTAGGTGTTTAAGCATTGTTTGTTCCGGGTTCCCCATAAATATATCAGCCAGAATTTGACCCAAGAGGCTACCCATGGTTACTCCATCAACTTGACCGTACAACGCATTTGTGGACTGAAATTATGTAGTTTTGGTACACATAAACAGGAGCTATTTTAACTCACTTATTGGGAAAGGAAGTAGTTCAGGATATTTCTCCCGGAGTAATTTTCGTGGAGAGATGAAACGTTAAAGGATACCATAAATTATCGGAAACATTGAAGCTATCAATCTTTTGTGTAATTTCAAAGATATTCTTCAGACCAAGGGACTGTAATAGATCAGTCACTTTTTGGTATATGTGCATCCTGTGCGGATCGCCTCAAGTTACAAGCATTATAAGCAGAGATGTATAAAGTGTAGCGGTACATCCAGCTGAACACTCTCAATTAGGATAAAACGCTCGTCCTGTATTCATTGTTAACCACCATCCATGCTGGTAAATCATTGTACATTTTGGCTAGTGATTATGATGATACCAGTAGTTCAAACATTTGTTTCGTTTATTATTAAGGGAAAAACGATTGATCAAATTTCGAACTCATTTGATAAAATAAGGTTAGCATCAAAATTATGTTGACGATAAAAAAATAGTCGTCAATACTAAAATTTAGACAGGGACGGACGGGGATTTAATAAATTTTTAGGTAAAAGTTTATTTGAAAAACATCGTAACTTATTATTTTAAATATAGCTGAATTTTAACTATCAGTGTATCCAAGGTATGAGTTTCGTTTTGTTTAGGTCACATGTAATAACCGGTTCAAATAGAAT